TCCTCTCTCCTGCTCACTGTCCCACCTCCTCCTCCTCTCTCCTGCTCACTGTCCCACCTCCTCCTCCTCTCTCCTGCTCACTGTCCCACCTCCTCCTCCTCCTCCTCTCTCCTGCTCACTGTCCAACCTCCTCCTCCTCTCTCCTGCTCACTGTCCAACCTCCTCCTCCTCTTTCCAGCTCACTGTCCCACCTCCTCCTCTCTCCTGCTCACTGTCCCACCTCCTCCTCCTCTTTCCAGCTCACTGTCCAACCTCCTCCTCCTCTCTCCTGCTCACTGTCCCACCTCCTCCTCCCTCTCTCCTGCTCACTGTCCAACCTCCTCCTCCTCTCTCCTGCTCACTGTCCCACCTCCTCCTCCTCTTTCCAGCTCACTGTCCAACCTCCTCCTCCTCTCTCCTGCTCACTGTCCCACCTCCTCCTCCTCTCTCCTGCTCACTGTCCAACCTCCTCCTCCTCTCTCCTGCTCACTGTCCCACCTCCTCCTCCTCTCTCCTGCTCACTGTCCAACCTCCTCCTCCTCTCTCCTGCTCACTGTCCCACCTCCTCCTCCTCTCTCCTGCTCACTGTCCCACCTCCTCCTCCTCTCTCCTGCTCACTGTCCAACCTCCTCCTCCTCTCTCCTGCTCACTGTCCCACCTCCTCCTCCTCTCTCCTGCTCACTGTCCCACCTCCTCCTCCTCTCTCCTGCTCACTGTCCAACCTCCTCCTCCTCTCTCCTGCTCACTGTCCCACCTCCTCCTCCTCTCTCCTGCTCACTGTCCAACCTCCTCCTCCCTCTCTCCTGCTCACTGTCCCACCTCCTCCTCCTCTCTCCTGCTCACTGTCCAACCTCCTCCTCCTCTCTCCTGCTCACTGTCCCACCTCCTCCTCCTCTCTCCTGCTCACTGTCCAACCTCCTCCTCCTCTCTCCTGCTCACTGTCCAACCTCCTCCTCCTCTTTCCAGCTCACTGTCCAACCTCCTCCTCCTCTTTCCAGCTCACTGTCCCACCTCCTCCTCTCTCCTGCTCACTGTCCCACCTCCTCCTCCTCTCTCCTGCTCACTGTCCAACCTCCTCCTCCTCTCTCCTGCTCACTGTCCCACCTCCTCCTCCTCTTTCCAGCTCACTGTCCAACCTCCTCCTCCTCTCTCCTGCTCACTGTCCAACCTCCTCCTCCTCTTTCCAGCTCACTGTTCCACCTCCTCCTCTCTCCTGCTCACTGTCCCACCTCCTCCTCCTCTTTCCAGCTCACTGTCCAACCTCCTCCTCCTCTCTCCTGCTCACTGTCCAACCTCCTCCTCCTCTCTCCTTCTCACTGTCCCACCTCCTCCTCCTCTTTCCAGCTCACTGTCCAACCTCCTCCTTCTCTCTCCTGCTCACTGTCCCACCTCCTCCTCCTCTCTCCTGCTCACTGTCCCACCTCCTCCTCCTCTCTCCTGCTCACTGTCCCACCTCCTCCTCTCTCCTGCTCACTGTCCCACCTCCTCCTCCTCTCTCCTGCTCACTGTCCCACCTCCTCCTCCTCTCTCCTGCTCACTGTCCCACCTCCTCCTCCTCTCTCCTGCTCACTGTCCCACCTCCTCCTCCTCTCTCCTGCTCACTGTCCCACCTCCTCCTCCTCTTTCCAGCTCACTGTCCAACCTCCTCCTCCTCTCTCCTGCTCACTGTCCAACCTCCTCCTCCTCTTTCCAGCTCACTGTCCCACCTCCTCCTCTCTCCTGCTCACTGTCCCACCTCCTCCTCCTCTCTCCTGCTCACTGTCCCACCTCCTCCTCTCTCCTGCTCACTGTCCCACCTCCTCCTCCTCTCTCCTGCTCACTGTCCCACCTCCTCCTCCTCTTTCCAGCTCACTGTCCAACCTCCTCCTCCTCTCTCCTGCTCACTGTCCCACCTCCTCCTCCTCCAGCTCACTGTCCCACCTCCTCCTCTCTCCTGCTCACTGTCCCACCTCCTCCTCCTCTCTCCTGCTCACTGTCCCACCTCCTCCTCTCTCCTGCTCACTGTCCCACCTCCTCCTCCTCTCTCCTGCTCACTGTCCCACCTCCTCCTCCTCTCTCCTGCTCACTGTCCCACCTCCTCCTCCTCTCTCCAGCTCACTGTCCCACCTCCTCCTCCTCTCTCCTGCTCACTGTCCCACCTCCTCCTCCTCTCTCCAGCTCACTGTCCCACCTCCTCCTCCTCTCTCCTGCTCACTGTCCCACCTCCTCCTCCTCTCTCCTGCTCACTGTCCCACCTCCTCCTCCTCTCTCCTGCTCACTGTCCCACCTCCTCCTCCTCTCTCCTGCTCACTGTCCCACCACCTCCTCCTCCTCTCTCCTGCTCACTGTCCCACCTCCTCCTCCTCTCTCCTGCTCACTGTCCAACCTCCTCCTCCTCTCTCCTGCTCACTGTCCAACCTCCTCCTCCTCTCTCCTGCTCACTGTCCCACCTCCTCCTCCTCTCTCCTGCTCACTGTCCCACCTCCTCCTCCTCTCTCCTGCTCACTGTCCAACCTCCTCCTCCTCTCTCCTGCTCACTGTCCAACCTCCTCCTCCTCTCTCCTGCTCACTGTCCAACCTCCTCCTCGTCTCTCCTGCTCACTGTCCAACCTCCTCCTCCTCTCTCCTGCTCACTGTCCCACCTGCTCCTCCTCTCTCCTGCTCACTGTCCCACCTCCTCCTCCTCTCTCCTGCTCACTGTCCCACCTCGTGCATACTCTCCAGCTCATTCCTGAATGCACACATACAAATATCTCAGACATAATCATATACACAGGCACTGACGCGTACACAAACACAGTTATACATCTGAACTGAAGGTGCAGTCTGCAGCTAACAATGCTCAGTTCTTTACACTAGCATCGTGGCATCACCACTGTGTAGGGAGTGAATGGATAATGACATGTGAAGCGTTTTTGAGTGTCCAAAAAAGCGCTGTATAAAAGCCATGCATCATTATTATCATTTCAGATACTAGAATATTAAGAGAACAAAACTCTGGAAGTATAATTGTACTTGTTCAAGGATAAGTCACCTGTGGACTTTATACTTGTAATTATAACTAAAACAGTAGAGTTGTGGTGGTTTTTTATTAGCCCAGAGACCCTCGTCCTCCGATCATCCAGCCCTCTGCATGAATAAGAAGAAGAGCCCTGGTTTAATGCATAATGTCTCCTTTAAAGCGTTCATCTACTTTGACGTTTCCACAGTGTCGATTCTCCAAAACCCAGCTCAGATCTGTCTGCCGTTCAGCTCTTACACGGCCCGACCAAAGCATTCCGCCACCTTCAAATATTCATGAAGTGCGAGTCTGGCACAAAAGCGCTAAAACAACACACGTTTAGCCATTTCTCTGGGCCGCAGCCAACCGCCTCCCATCCTCCTCTCCTTCGCCCCGTATCAGCCGTCACACTTTTACAAGCTTGTTTTCCTGCGTTCGCCGCTGATAAAGACGAGGAGAGGACGAGACAGCGCTGAAATAAAGCCTCAGAACGGCCACGAAAGGCAGAAAAAAGTGCCACGCCAGCGAGACCCGGCAGACAGACGCGAGATTGTGCCCCGCCGGTGAAATGTGGCTGCGTTTGTGAGAGCTGAGGTAAATGGGATATCAGCAGATCCAGCAGAGAGGCTGTCATTCTGTGTTTACGCCGTAGATGTGGCCCCGCCCCCTCCCCGTCGCCAACCACTGTACAGACTCGGAGACTGGAGATGTTATTAGCTCAGGCAAAGCTAATATCAGTAAAAATGTTATTATTCTGTACCAGACAGTAGTGAGTTAGCGATGTTATTAGCTTGATTGGTAGAGAAGAAACTAATACCTTCATATTTAAAAAAGGAGTTTGAGTGGCAGTTGGGGACCACTGTCAAAGACCACATATTGTCTTACGAAGCTACCGTAGTATCGTAGATTGCAATATATGATCTCAATGCTAGATGGGAGTAGAAACTACACAGTGTACCTTTAAATCAAGTCTAAAGACATAATTGTACCTTCTCTCTTGACGCCAACTAAAATTCACTGTTTTATATTTGACATGTGTTTGTGCGTATTTAATTCTGTTTAATTTTCTGTTTTCTTTTGTGCCTGTAGCACTTGGATCAACCTTTCTGACTTCTGAGACTGTATATGTCACATTGATTTGGGCTCCACAAAAATACATGGAATTGAGTTGAGTTGTTTTAATGTTCTCTCCTTGAAGAAAGCAATGTACATTTTTCTGTTTTTTTGATTTTACATTTTTCAAAAGTGCCCTTCAACCAAGTGATAGAGCCCCAAAGAGGTAGATTTCAGTTCCAAGCGTAAGGTAGATTTTTAGTGACTCAAAAAGTGACTCCACCAAATGGTTGAGGAAACTCTTAAATGTATATTGTCAAAACCAACATGAATGATTCTGAATATTAAGTTCTGTATAAAGGTGCCTTGCCCATGTGCACAAACGAACCACTCCGACTACGGACATTTATGGACAGTGGCTTGTTGATTCTCTGATCTGTGTTGGCGAATCGACAGCTTTGTAAAGTCCTCTGAGATAAAATACTGTTGTGATTTAAGGCTATTCAAAAATAAATTGAATTGAATTGGATCCTCCAGCGGTTAAATGGCGTGCCCTCCCGTATGGAAATTACTGGAACCAGCTGGACGGTACAGTCCATGGACACGCTCCCAAATCCAACTAAAGCACATGATCCCAACCGTGTTTGGTGACATCACCGCATGAGAGTGGCGTGTATGCTGTGCCGTGTTCAGGCCGCTAATCTGAGCCTGATACCACCATGAGAATAATCCCAGAGGCATTAGAGCCCGGACCAGGGGAGGCACACATCTGGTCTCTAACCGCCTGCTGGACTCTCCCATAGAGAGGGAGGGGGGGACAGGACCAGACACTACCATAGAGAGGGGGGGGGGACAGGAGCAGACACTACCATAGAGAGGGGGGGGGGGGGGGCAGGACCAGACACTACCATAGAGAGGGAGGGGGGACAGGACCAGCCACTACCATAGAGAGGGGGGGGGGGACAGGACCAGCCACTACCATAGAGAGGGGGGGGACAGGACCAGACACTACCATAGAGAGGGGGGGGGACAGGACCAGACACTACCATAGAGAGGGGGGGGACAGGACCAGACACTACCATAGAGAGGGGGGGGACAGGACCAGACACTACCATAGAGAGGGAGGGGGGGGGCAGGACCAGACACTACCATAGAGAGGGAGGGGGGGCAGGACCAGACACTACCATAGAGAGGGGGGGGGGGACAGGACCAGACACTACCATAGAGAGGGGGGGGACAGGACCAGACACTACCATAGAGAGGGGGGGGGACAGGACCAGCCACTACCATAGAGAGGGGGGGGGACAGGACCAGACACTACCATAGAGAGGGGGGGGACAGGACCAGACACTACCATAGAGAGGGGGGGGGACAGGACCAGACACTACCATAGAGAGGGGGGGGGACAGGACCAGACACTACCATAGAGAGGGGGGGGGGGACAGGACCAGACACTACCATAGAGAGGGAGGGGGGACAGGACCAGACACTACCATAGAGAGGGAGGGGGGGACAGGACCAGACACTACCATAGAGAGGGGGGGGGACAGGAGCAGACACTACCATAGAGAGGGAGGGGGGACAGGACCAGACACTACCATAGAGAGGGAGGGGGGGACAGGACCAGACACTACCATAGAGAGGGGGGGGGGGGACAGGACCAGACACTACCATAGAGAGGGAGGGGGGGACAGGACCAGACACTGCCATAGAGAGGGGGGGGGGACAGGACCAGACACTACCATAGAGAGGGAGGGGGGACAGGACCAGACACTACCATAGAGAGGGGGGGGGGACAGGATCAGACACTACCATAGAGAGGGAGGGGGGACAGGACCAGACACTACCATAGAGAGGGAGGGGGGACAGGACCAGACACTACCATAGAGAGGGAGGGGGGGACAGGACCAGACACTACCATAGAGAGGGAGGGGGGGGACAGGACCAGCCACTACCATAGAGAGGGAGGGGGGGACAGGACCAGACACTACCATAGAGAGGGAGGGGGACAGGACCAGACACTACCATAGAGAGGGGGGGGGACAGGACCAGACACTACCATAGAGAGGGGGGGGGGACAGGATCAGACCTAAGAGGAGGGGGGACAGGACCAGACACTACCATAGAGAGGAGGGGGACAGGACCAGACACTACCATAGAGAGGGAGGGGGGACAGGACCAGACACTACCATAGAGAGGGGGGGGGGACAGGACCAGACACTACCATAGAGAGGGGGGGACAGGACAGACTGCCATAGAGAGGGAGGGGGGACAGGGCAGAAACTACCATAGAGAGGGGGGGGACAGGACCAGACACTACCATAGAGAGGGAGGGGGGACAGGACCAGACACTACCATAGAGAGGGGGGGGGGACAGGACCAGACACTACCATAGAGAGGGGGGGGGACAGGACCAGACTGCCATAGAGAGGGGGGGGGACAGGAGCAGAAACTACCATAGAGAGGGGGGGGGGGGGGGGGGGGGGGGGGGGGCAGGAGCAGACACTACCATAGAGAGGGAGGGGGTGACTGAGCTAGAGGAGTTTACTTTTACATTTCAATAGGAGCCAGAGTGAGTTGGATCAAAACTTCGTCCATGAGCACTTCCCTTTTGGTCCATCTGTATACAGTCTCTTGTATCCATCCAAATTAGTAAAACATTGTGTGAAAAGTGTTTTAACTACATCCCAAACCCTTTTGATTCTCTAAAAACAATCAATTTTTGTGTTTGCTTTTTTTTGTTGATCACCAATAACTGAATAAATAAGTACAAAATATGAAAACATGTCTAATGACGGTGTCAGATTGTCCAAAAGCAGCTCATATCCACAGGGATGAGCAGAATCTACAATCATCATGAATAAGAGAAACATTGGTGAGATGTGGAGCGGGGGAAGCGGCCATTAGCCAAAGACAGAGCTCCTGGTTAGCGACGCATCAATTAGCGCTCTGTCACGGCGAGGGCAGCTCAGCCGACCGGAGCCTGCTAAAGAGAGGCCTGTCCCCCAGCCGTCTGAGGGTGGAGGTGTGTGTCTGTATGTGTGTGTGTGTGCGTGCGTGCGTGCAAGCGAGCGGGTGTGCATGAGTGTGTGTGTGTGTGTGTGTGAGAGAGAGAGAGTGTGTGCGCATGTCCATGAGTATATATTTGTGTGTGTTTGTGTGAGCGTATGGATGGTCAGCCGGCAGAGTTAGACTGGCTGGCTCCCCGGGGCCTAGAGGAGGGCAAGGATGAGGAGGGGGTGTGGCCTGTGACTCACGGAGGAGGAGCAGCTACAGTCGAGAAGGAAAGCACATTTAGAGTGACGTTTATATATTTAGTCCCTTTGATAGGTCCCGTCAATATTGATCCAAAACGATGTCAGGATAAAGAATTGTCGTCGCACTTCTGCATCAGTCCTGCCATATCGCTCTGTGCTCTGCCCCTTTAAACAATGTCAGCGGAATTGTGCACTTTGGTTTATTTACATTTAAGGCAAATCCTGAACCCAAGACCTTTAAAAGCACGTGTTATGGTTAAATTCCCAAAATCCACTTCTTTGTTCCATACACACACATTTCACAGTGCTACATAAAACTTTTGGGCGTAGCTACAGTTATGTATTGTAATAACTGTCGCTAAAGTAAAATATGTGACATCACCAGATCCTAGAAATAGTTCCTGCAGCTGCATACTCGAGCCGTGTCCATACAGTGTTCACCAAAACACTCTCTGACCGGTCAATACGGCGATCGATGAGCCCTGAGCCAGCCTTACGAAACCCCACCACAGCTGACCGGTGTGTGTGTGGGTGTGTGGGGGGGGTGGACCCGTGTGACCCGGGCTGAGGACCAATGTGGGCCACTGGGTCTGGAACCAAAGGCCAGTTTTATGCAAGACTTTCACTCATCAAAAACCAATATCAGGCTCTGCTTGTGTTCACTTTGACGTTGTTAAGACTCCAGCGAGTTTTAGAACCATCTTAGACCCATAGACGTACATCAGGACAGGACTGACCCAGTGTGACATCACTATAGCGTTAGCCTTAATGCAAAATAGGTTAACGTAAGCTAGCTGGAACCAGTTTCCGTTTATGGGCATTCTTCCACGGCATTAGCTTTGCACTGAAACAGGGGCAGATGTGTTGCTAAGACGGTTGCTAAGACAAGCCATAGTATTTCCTCCTAAATAAAGGCATCTGATTGGTCAATATTTTTTTGGCTCATAACTGGATTTTCAAAGACAATGATAAACAGATCACAGAGAGCGCTAAACTACAGATTTTTAAAGTTCAAATTGTGAGTGTGACACAAACGGTTACTGAGCCAGAGGAGTTTTTTTTGTAGGTCAGTAGAAGCCAGAGCCAGTTGGACCAAAACTTTGTCCATGAGCACTTTTCTATTGAACTTCATTGAGCTAGCAGCATTGACGTTATATACACTATGTCTCCAGGAGAACATTTTTTGTGTGGTAAAAAGCCCTTCTAGGAACAAAAATTACAAATTAGCCTTGCTTCTAAATGCTGTGGTATATGACATGTTGATTCTCTACACTTGTCCCTATCAATTAAATAAAAAATAAGATAAGAGAACCTTTATTTTCGTCCCATAGTGGGACCTTTCACAGCTGAGTCGTCCACTCCTCCACAACACGACCTTCTACCGTGCATACAAATGTCTTCAGCTTTTATATCGGCGCCAGAAGAGACAAAAGCCCAGATCAGCCCGACCACATGACATCACACATCCACACTGGCCGCTGTGTCTCGCCCACGGTGCCCAGAGCTGTCTCCCCATCAGCCCTCACCCCCCTCCCCCTTCACCCTGGGGAGACGGATGCGCTTAATCGATAGAGCCACGTTGCCACGACAACCCTGATTTCCTGTTGGGGTTTGGGTGTAAGCGTGGGTGATTGCGCTGGGAGTTCTGTGCACCTGGCGCCCTGGGTTTGTTTTGGCCCCTGGGAGTGAAAAGTGACTTTGATCAGACCAAACATGTTTTTTGGGGAATTTTGAGTTTACGGAATTAATAATTAATGATTGAGAGTTCTTGTATTTTACAGTGAGATGTATATGTTTAGTCTCTCAACATTGATCCATGCTGTTCCTGAAGCGCTGTTTCTTATTATCATTATGACAATTGTTAGTTTTTTAGAATGATCAATGTGTTTGTTTTGTTTGTGTGGATGGATGTGTTTTTGCTGCTACTGGACACCTGGATTTCTCCTATGGGGATCAATAAAGTATCTATCTAATAATAATAAAGAATTGTCATGGCGCTTCTGCATCAGTCCTGCCGTATCGCTCTGTGCTCTGCCCCTTTGAACAATGTCAGCAGAATTGCGGTAACAGTAAAGGCTGCGTTCACACCGCACATTTAAGGCAAATCATGAACCAGGGACATATGAAAAGTGCGTGTTATGTAAAATTCTAAACATCTTGATTATTTTGTGTTGATGGTATCCGCTTCCTGGTTCCATAAACACACATTTCAGACTCTGGAAGTCTTGGTGTTAAAGGAGACGCCCCATGCTTCTGTCTGCGGTGAAATCTACAACAGCAGTAGATCTTCAATTCAAGATGTTCTGAGATTTGTTCTGAGATTTGATCCATTACAGCGCTTTGACCGGACTCAGGCGGACCCTTATCTGATGGTCTCGGGGCCCGTGTGAGTGTGTAGGAGGTGATGTCAGCGCACCTGCGGGGCCTCTCCTCCTCTTTCATTAATGCAGAGCTCATTAATCGAGCTGATAACGAGGAGTGGGACAGGGCGTGATGGAGGGGCCGCGCGCCCTTGGGGATAACAGCGTGTGTGGCGCATGTTAACGCAGGTAACTATCAGAGGACATCTGCAGGACAGGCCACAGGGGAGGGGCCACACTCCTGTGCTGTCCTGTTCCGTAAATATGACAGAAAAATGTTCTAATGTATGCAGTGATTACTATGGCAACCAATAACCAGGGTTCTAATCCCTTTGTCTGCGTCCAGATGCAGTAGTACAGTAGACAGGAGCATGTCCTTGTTAGTAAAGTGCTGTGGCAGACAGAGGGGGCGGGGCCACAGCAGGCCTAATCTTACAGCTGTAATCCTCATATTTGTGTATTAATAGCAGTGTGTCCGTATATCCTGATGTTTTATTAGAGCCGTAATCTGCCTGTCCATCACCGAGCGCTGCGTTTAAAGGGTTTTAATAAAAGCAGCAGCAGAGGATAAGCTCCCCAAGGACGCAGAAAGAGCAAGCCCTGGTTCAATAGACTCATCATCAACAATAACCGGCTTTACATCAATGTTATCTGTCACGCACCAATACAATTACGAGGTGGTCCTGGCCCTGGGCCCCTGGCCCTCGCACAAGTGGGTTAGATAAAGGCTGACCCACATGAAGCACATTGTTACAATAATGCAGCAGCTCATCAACGATAATGTCACCAACACTAGAGCTGCTGCTCCGAGCTCAGGGCCCGACACACGGGGACCGGCCTGAGGGCCTTTTCAGCAGGTGTGAGAGCGGCTCCTCTTTATGTTCTTCAACCGTTTCTGTTTTTCACCAAGTGCCAACGCAGCTCTATGGGAAAGAAGAGGTTTCTCAAAGAAATTTTGAAAAATAAATAGTATTCTCATATAATAGAAAACATCGACCAGGGCCCGGCACTCCAGCCTCACCGCGACCAGGGCCCGGTCTCTCCTGACCTGTAGAGTCTCTCCTGAACTGTAGGGTCTCTCCTGACCTGTAGAGTCTCTCCTGACCTGTAGGGTCTCTCCTGACCTGTAGAGTCTCTCCTGACCTGTAGAGTCTCTCCTGACCTGTAGGGTCTCTCCTGACCTGTAGAGTCTCTCTTGACCTGTAGAGTCTCTCTTGAACAGTAGGGTCTCTCCTGATCTGTAGAGTCTCTCTTGACCTGTAGAGTCTCTCCTGACCTGTAGAGTCTCTCTTGAGCTGTAGGGTCTCTCTTGACCTGTAGGGTCTCTCCTGACCTGTAGAGTCTCTCTTGATCTGTAGAGTCTCTCCTGACCTGTAGAGTCTCTCTTGACCAGTAGGGTCTCTCCTGACCTGTAGGGTCTCTCCTGACCTGTAGAGTCTCTCTTGACCTGTAGGGTCTCTCCTGACCTGTAGAGTCTCTCTTGACCTGTAGAGTCTCTCTTGACCAGTAGGGTCTCTCTTGACCAGTAGGGTCTCTCCTGACCTGTAGGGTCTCTCCTGACCTGTAGAGTCTCTCTTGACCTGTAGAGTCTCTCTTGACCAGTAGGGTCTCTCCTGACCTGTAGGGTCTCTCCTGACCTGTAGAGTCTCTCTTGACCTGTAGGGTCTCTCCTGACCTGTAGAGTCTCTCTTGACCTGTAGAGTCTCTCCTGACCTGTAGAGTCTCTCTTGACCTGTAGGGTCTCTCTTGACCTGTAGAGTCTCTCTTGACCAGTAGGGTCTCTCCTGACCTGTAGAGTCTCTCTTGACCAGTAGGGTCTCTCCTGACCTGTAGAGTCTCTCTTGACCAGTAGGGTCTCTCTTGACCTGTAGGGTCTCTCTTGACCAGTAGGGTCTCTCCTGACCTGTAGAGTCTCTCTTGACCTGTAGAGTCTCTCCTGACCTGTAGAGTCTCTCTTGACCTGTAGGGTCTCTCCTGACCTGTAGAGTCTCTCTTGACCTGTAGGGTCTCTCTTGACCTGTAGGGTCTCTCTTGACCTGTAGAGTCTCTCCTGACCTGTAGAGTCTCTCCTGACCTGTAGAGTCTCTCCTGACCTGTAGAGTCTCTCCTGACCTGTAGAGTCTCTCCTGACCAGTAGGGTCTCTCTTGACCTGTAGGGTCTCTCTTGACCAGTAGGGTCTCTCCTGACCTGTAGAGTCTCTCTTGACCTGTAGGGTCTCTCTTGACCTGTAGGGTCTCTCTTGACCTGTAGGGTCTCTCCTGACCTGTAGAGTCTCTCTTGACCTGTAGAGTCTCTCCTGACCTGTAGAGTCTCTCTTGACCTGTAGGGTCTCTCTTGACCTGTAGAGTCTCTCTTGACCAGTAGGGTCTCTCCTGACCTGTAGGGTCTCTCCTGACCTGTAGAGTCTCTCTTGACCTGTAGGGTCTCTCTTGACCTGTAGAGTCTCTCTTGATCTGTAGGGTCTCTCTTGACCTGTAGAGTCTCTCTTGACCTGTAGGGTCTGTCTTGACCTGTAGAGTCTCTCTTGACCTGTAGGGTCTCTCTTGACCTGTAGAATCTCTCTTGACCAGTAGGGTCTCTCCTGACCTGTAGAGTCTCTCCTGATAAAGTCCTCGAGCCCTGATTTTGGAGCAAACACAGCAGGACTCGGACCACACTGGGTCCAGAGCGACATGAGCTGTTTTTCTATCATTTAAAGCATTCCTGCTCTCTGGGAATCCTGATAACAGTCTGGACCCTGCACTCATGTAAACAAACACATGTGGCCCCGCCCCCTGCCTCTGCAGACTGTCACTCAAAGTTACAGAAGAATGAGGAAGGAAAGGATTTTACATCAGTGCCTTTGATACAAACATGATCTGATCCCAGCACAGAACGGACAGAGGCAGAACTTCATCCATTCACTTTACTTTAGGATTTATTTCCACCCTGTCAATCTGTCTGTGATGTCACATCTCACTTTGACTGGAATGAGCTTCTATCAGGGGTGTCCAAACTTTGTAGTATCAGGGTCACATCAGACTGGGATTGACCACAGGGATTTAAAACTGTTCTGGGATTAAAGCTGGAGGATGTTGTGGCCGTAGTGACACCACAGCGACATTATATACAAATAAACACGCACGCACTAATACACACACGCACACACACTAATACACACAAGCAGGCACACACACGCACATACATACATACACACATGCGCACACACACTAATACACACACAAACAGAAACACACACGCACTAATACACACAAACACGCACACACACACACAAATACACATGTGTACACACACACACACAAATACACACGTGTACACATACACACACACACACTAATACACACACAGACACAGACAGACACACAGACACACACACAGACAGACACACACAGTGGTTCAGGCCTGGGTCAGCTCTCAGGTACAGGGGTCAGGAATGTAGCTCTACACAAAACGCAGCCTTTAAATGCATTTGAGCGCGGACCATGTGAGACTCACGGGGGAATCTCGAGGGAGCGACCCCCCCTGCCTCCCCTCCTCCCCTCCTCGCCTCCTCGCCTCCTCACCCCTCCTCCCCCTTTGTCCCGCCCCCCGTCCCCCACCTCGGCTGACGGACTACAACAACAGGAAATGAGGCCGGCCCACCACGCCTGTTCACAGCTCATCCTCCACAGGGTGAAGGACACCAGCCAGATCCCATCACACCTCTGAGGCTAAGCAGGACCGGGCCTGGTTAGTACTGTGAGGATGGGAGACCTCTGGGAACACCTGGTGACACAATGGGGCGGCTGTTGTGTGCTTAGGCAAGACACTTCATCCACATTAGAATGAGTCTGGTGTGTGTGTGAATGGTTGGTGGCTGATGGGACAGACTGGTTACCTCTCTCCTGTCAGTGTGCCCCAGGGCAGCTGTGGCGTGTATGGAGTAAAAGAATAATGACATGTGAAGTGTCAAACGAGCGCTGTATAAAACTGATGGATTGTTATCATCACATATCAGCACAGAAAGGTTCCCCCGCCCCTTCTGTCTAAACCAGGGGTCTCAAACTCAATTAATCTGAAGGCCGCACAAGCTGTGGTCTGTGCTGAGGCTGAATTAAAGGGGAATATTTGTGTCTGATCGGAGCAAACGAGTCTATAACGCACACGCAGATCATTCAACACTAAAATTGCACACGCTATTCTACTTTTTGTTCCAAAAAAAGTAAACATTTGTGTTTATAGTGTGTGTGTATGGGCGCGTGCATGTGCGTGAGTGCATGTCTGTGTGTGTGAGTGTGTTGGTGTAGTTTGTGTGGGTGAGTGTGCGTGCGTGTGTGTCTCTGTCTGCATGCGTGTGTAGGTGTGTTATGTGCGTATTTATGCGTGTGAATGTGCGTATCTATGTGTGTTTGTGTGTCTGTCTGTCTGTGTGTAAGTATGTATGCGTGTCCGTGTGTGTGTCTGTCTGTGTGTGCGCATGTGTCTGTCTGTCATTCTGTCTGCCTGTCTGTGTGTGTGTGTGTGTGTGTCTGTCTAAGTATATGTATATATGTGTGTGTCTGTCTGTGTGTCTGTGTGTGTGCGTGTATGTGTATATGCATGTGTGTGTATGTGTGTATATATATGTGTGTGTGCCCGCCTCAGCTGATGGAGCCACACTGAGACCTGGCACAGGCCCCAGAGAGTGCAAGGGGGAGGGGCCGGTCCTGGTGAATGGCCCTGGTCTGTCCCGTCCTCAGGGGCCGGACGCCGCTCTCAATAGCGGTTAGTGCGTGGCGGCGGCGGCCATTGAGATTCTGCGGAGCTTCGTTTTCTGGCTCCACAACGACAGCGAGGACTCATCAGAATGTGTCCGAGGAAACAGGAAGCTTTCACAACACGTCTGTTTCTCAAAAGTCACACTTCCTCATCGCAAACGCACAAACGCGCCGTCCGCAGCGCCTCTCAGCTCTGGGTTTTCTAATCATCTACAGCAGCAGGGGTCTCCCACCTGTGGCTCGGGAGCTACCAGCATCTCACCACCTCCTTTCAGGTAGATTAAGATTAAGAGGTACTTTATATTGGTCCCACAATGGGGAAATTTCAGTGTTGCATCAGCAGTTACATAAGGAGGAGCACACAACACAATAAATGAACAATAACTCTATACAAAAATGAAATAAAATATAACTCTAGCATGAAAACAAGTAAGTATAAAATCTATATTGTTAGCATAATGAGGAAAAGATAAGAACTGCCCTCTCCACTTGTTGATCAAAACTTTCTGGTCTCTGGAGGATCAATAGTCTTGATGATCCACCCAGAAGTAGAAAACCCTCCTATGTACCTTTAAGTACAAAAAAAAACCCCTTTACTTTAGAATTTAACCCGTGATCCTGAATGGTTCACTTTTGAGTCCATTTTAACAATACATCTTGTCATTAATGCAGGAAAACTGTATTAAGGTATATTATGTGTCTTTCCCACCCCTGACCCAGATATGGATTATTAAAGGAGACGAGAATGAATGACTGCATCGGTTTTCTATAAATTCACACTTTTGTGCATCAGACTCTGCTCTCGTCCCGCTCTGGCTCCGCTCTGATCCGCAGCGCTCTGATTGGTCAGAAACTTTCAAGTATCTGGAAAAATGCACGTAAAGTTTTTGCTTTAAAAAAGGTTCTAGTTCACGTGTCTGTCTCTTTAGCCTCTGTCACGTCTGAAGACCTGCTTTTTCAGACAGAATAAAAAGAGAGGACGAGCCTTGAGTTCTGGCAATCCAGATCAAGGACTTTCTGATTGGTGAAATGGCAGAGGGCGGGACATCGAAATGAAAACAATAACAAGATTTAGGGGCTGTAAAAGTAATTTTGAAATCCAAATATCTTTGAACTACTTTTATAAGTTAAAGAAGTATTGGAAAAGAGCATGTTTTATTCACGTCTTTGGACATATTAGGGCCCTTTAATGATGACTTGACATTCTACATTTCTTATCGACTCCAGAGAATGTAGTAGCATGTGTCCTGTCGCTGGGGCAGGTGCAGGGGCCGCTCAGGAAGTGTGTGTCACAGATCATGGGCTTTGGGGTCGTGTCCGGGGCCGTAATCTCTCACACACTTCCAGCTTTTGTTCCAGAACGAGGAGGAGAGAAGAGGATGAAGGACGCCTGAGGAAGAGGAGTGAGGAAGAGGAGTGAGGAAGAGGACTGAGGAAGAGGAGTGAGGAAGAGGAGAGGCCAGAGGAAGAAGAGTGAGGAAGAGGGGTGAGGAGGAGGACTGAGGAAGAGGACTGAGGAAGAGGAGTGGGGAAGAGGAGAGGCCAGAGGAATAAGAGTGAGGAAGAGGGGTGAGGAGGAGGACTGAGGAAGAGGACTGAGGAAGAGGAGTGAGGAAGAGGACTGAGGAAGAGGAGTGGGGAAGAGGAGAAGCCAGAGGAATAAGAGTGAGGAAGAGGGGTGAGGAGGAGGACTGAGGAAGAGGACTGAGGAAGAGGAGTGAGGAAGAGGAGAGGCCAGAGGAAGAAGAGTGAGGAAGAGGGGTGAGGAGGAGGACTGAGGAAGAGGACTGAGGAAGAGGAGTGAGGAAGAGGACTGAGGAAGAGGAGTGGGGAAGAGGAGAAGCCAGAGGAAGAAGAGTGAGGAAGAGTGGTGAGGAGGAGGACTGAGGAAGAGGACTGAGGAAGAGGAGTGGGGAAGAGGAGAGGCCAGAGGAATAAGAGTGAGGAAGAGGGGTGAGGAGGAGGAGGAGTGAGGAAGAGGACTGATGAGGACCAAAACGAGAGGATGAATAATATTGTCTCGTCCAATTTAAATCCATCGATACAGAAATGTGGACACGACCAAATTTCCAAATGTATTGTAGACTGAGACAGGAGTATTCTGGTCTCACCACACCATGGTACTAATTTCATGCTGTCTGGATTTGCTCCACTGACTCCGTGAACAGGTGGGAGGAGTTAACTCTGTTTGCAGATTGAAACCATTGGAGGTTTCAGTCAAGGTCCAGCTCTCCTCTTGATGTGGTTGAAGTAGAGCTGGACCTTGGTGCGGTTGTAGAGGGTGATGCCGGGGGGATGTGTGGGTACTGCACCAGGCCCTCCAGCCTCGCGGCCCTCAGGATGTGGAGGTACTGCACCAGGCCCTCCAGCCTCGCGGCCCTCAGGATGTGGAGGGCGTCCTGCTCCAGCGTCTCGTGCTGTCCGATCACGTCATATCGGTATGTAATGAGCCCGACTCAGTGAGGCATTTAGCATCTAGCCTTGCTTTAGCATTTAGCCTCGCTTTAGTCAGCTCTTCTTGATATTTAGAGTTGAACTGGAACAGAGTGTTTAACTATCGCATTCGCCATCGCCAAACTATACCCAGAATATTTGGCATAAAGTCTTGACGTCACCAACACCGACCTACAACACCCGCCTCCCCCGCTCTCTGATTGGTCGGGGGGAATTAATCCGATGTAACTGCAGCCACTAGGATCAGACCCAGACGTACATGTAGGAAATGATCATGGACCAGAGTTTACACATGGTAAGACCAGACGTACATGTAGGAAATAACCATGGACCAGAGTTTACACATGGTAAGACCAGACGTACATGTAGGAAATAACCATGGACCAGAGTTTACACATGGTAAGACCAGACGTACATGTAGGAAATAACCATGGACCAGAGTTTACACATGGTAAGACCAGACGTACATGTAGGAAATAACCATGGACCAGAGTTTACACATGGTAAGACCAGACGTACATGTAGGAAATAACCATGGACCAGAGTTTACACATGGTAAGACCAGACGTACATGTAGGAAATGATCATGGACCAGAGTTTACACATGGTAAGACCAGACGTACATGTAGGAAATAACCATGGACCAGAGTTTACACATGGTAAGACCAGACGTACATGTAGGAAATAACCATGGACCAGAGTTTACACATGGTAAGACCAGACGTACATGTAGGAAATGATCATGGACCAGAGTTTACACATGGTAAGACCAGACGTACATGTAGGAAATGATCATGGACCAGAGTTTACACATGGTAAGACCAGACGTACATGTAGGAGATGACCATGGACCAGAGTTTACACATGGTAAGACCAGACGTACATGTAGGAAATGATCATGGACCAGAGTTTACACATGGTAAGACCACCAGACGTACATGTAGGAGATGACCATGGACCAGAGTTTACACATGGTAAGACCAGACGTACATGTAGGAGATGACCATGGACCAGAGTTTACACATGGTAAGACCAGACGTACATGTAGGAAATGACCATGGACCAGAGTTTACACATGGTAAAACCAGACGTACATGTAGGAGATGACCATGGACCAGAGTTTACACATGGTAAGACCAGACGTACATGTAGGAGATGACCATGGACCAGAGTTTACACATGGTAAAACCAGACGTACATGTAGGAGATGACCATGGACCAGAGTTTACACATGGTAAGACCAGACGTACATGTAGGAGATGACCATGGACCAGAGTTTACACATGGTAAGACCAGACGTACATGTAGGAGATGACCATGGACCAGAGTTTACACATGGTAAGACCAGACGTACATGTAGGAGATGACCATGGACCAGAGTTTACACATGGTAAAACCAGACGTACATGTAGGAGATGACCATGGACCAGAGTTTACACATGGTAAGACCAGACGTACATGTAGGAGATGACCATGGACCAGAGTTTACACATGGTAAGACCAGACGTACATGTAGGAGATGACCATGGACCAGAGTTTACACATGGTAAGACCAGACGTACATGTAGGAGATGACCATGGACCAGAGTTTACACATGGTAAGACCAGACGTACATGTAGGAGATGACCATGGACCAGAGTTTACACATGGTAAGACCAGACGTACATGTAGGAGATGACCATGGACCAGAGTTTACACATGGTAAGACCAGGCTAATACAAGAGTGGTCTGCCTGTTTTCTGAGCCCTTGTCATTTCTCTCCTGGCCTTTTACAATTAGCATGTTTGAGTTTTTAATTTCTAATTTCACTAAATGTGACCGTTCCGTTTTATTCAAAGCAGCTCCTTCTTGTGAAGCACTCAGCATTGGGAACTTTCCATTTGCTCCACATTTGCATCGATAAACCAGCGCAGCTTTTAACTTCTTTTAATTGTGATCGCTAATATTCAAAACCCACGAGAAAGAGCTTTCACGGCGTGCTGATGGTTTACCCAAGAATGTTACACTAGATATAGCCCTGTTTCCACCAGCCCTTGTCTACTCTACTATACTCTACCCTACTCTACTCTACTCTACTCTACTCTACCCTACCCTACTCTACTCTACTCTACTCTACTCTACTCTACTCTACCCTACTCTACACTACTCTACTCTACTCTACACTACTCTACTCTACTCTACCTCTACTCTACTCTACTCTACTCTACACTACTCTACTCTACTCTACCCTACTCTACACTACTCTACCCTACTCTACCCTACTCTACTCTACCCTACTCTACTCTACTCTACTCTACCCTACTCTACTCTACTCTACTCTACTCTACTCTACTCTACTCTACTCTACTCTACTCTACCCTACTCTACTCTACTCTACCCTACTCTACCCTACTCTACTCTACCCTACTCTACACTACTCTACACTACTCTACACTACTCTACCCTACTCTACACTACTCTACCCTACTCTACCCTACTCTACTCTACCCTACTCTACTCTACTCTACCCTACTCTACTCTACTCTACTCTACTCTACTCTACTCTACTCTACACTGCTCTACACTACTCTACCCTACTCTACCCTACTCTACTCTACCCTACTCTACCCTACTCTACTCTACTCTACCCTACTCTACTCTACTCTACTCTACTCTACTCTACACTACTCTACACTACTCTACCCTACTCTACCCTACTCTACTCTACCTTACTCTACTCTACTCTGCTCTACATTACTCTACTCTACTCTACACTACTCTACACTACTCTACCCTACTACTACCCTACTCTACTCTACCTTACTCTACTCTACTCTGCTCTACATTACTCTACTCTACTCTGCTCTACTACCTCCTTCTCCTCCTTGGCACCCTTCCCCCTGACCTCCTCAAACACTGTCGCTCTCCCACACTTCCAAACCACTCTTAAAACACCTCCTCTCAGACTGGCCTCTTCTCTGTGACCTTTCTGTCCACTTCTAACTTTTGTAAAACGTCCTTGAGTTCCCAGAAAGGCGCCAATGACACGCTGTCTCTGGTCCCTGTCCCGTGGATCCATGATAAATAACATGTATTATTATTATTATTATTATTATGATTATTATTATTATTATTATCTGTGTGGTATTGAAACGACATTACTTTCCCGGCTGGGTGACTCACGCTGCTTCTGCCCTGAGCTCCCCTGGGTCCTCGTTCTCCCTAAGACTCGGGGGTGGGGCCGCTTGAGTCAGCATCACGTCATCTCACTTCCAGACACACTGTGATGTCATCAGAGGGGGACGCATGGTGGGGAGTGCGGACCGTAAAAACATACATGTTTATAGAGGCTGGGTCAGAATCTGCAGGTTTGTCTCTCGAACAGAGTCAGTGCTCGAGAAAAACTCACGCAATCTGGAAGTGAGCATTTTCCGCGTCTTCACCGAGATGAAAAATGTGAAAATTGTTAGAAAGTTCTTGAGCCAAACCACTTTTTGAGTTTGAAAACTGTGTCGGCCTCAACCCTGTTGTGATGTACACTGGGACCTTAAACCCCTCGCAAACCTGCCCTGAGTAAACGTCTATTTCTAAACAGTAGAATAAATAATCACAGTGCATTCAAAAGATTGGATTAAGATTAAGATTGAGATTGAGATTAAGATCATGATTAAGATTATGATTAAAATTATTATTATGATAAAGATTATGATTAAGATTAAGACTATGATTATGATTAAGAGATCCTGTATTCGTCACACTGTGGGGAAATGTCAGTGTTGCATTGCCAGTTACACAACAGTAGGAATGAGGAGCACACAGCTCAAGATAAATGAACAATGTAACTCCGTACTAAAATAAAATAAAATAAAGAAGAAAGTATAAAATCTCAAAACTTTTTGGACAAAACTCGCAGCCAACGGCACACTGTCCCTGTGATCCCTCACACACTGCGGTGTTATCGGTCTGACGCACTCTTCCTCCCTCTGTCCGTTAACTGTGAGCTGCTTATCAGTGGTACTTCACTCACTGCTGTCCTGGGACACTGCTCCACCAAACTCTACTCTACTCTACTCTACTCTGCTCTACTCTACGTTACTCTACTCTACTCTACTCTGTTACTCCACTCTACTCTACTCTACTCTACTCTACTCTACTCTACTCTACTCTACTCTGTTACTCCACTATACTCTACGTTACACTACTCTACTCTACTCTACTCCACGTTAGTCTACTCTACTCTACTCTACCTTACTCTACATTACTCTCCTCTACGTTAGTCTACTCTACTCTACTTTACTCTTCTTTTCTCTACTCTTGGTTGTGGGTTGCGTCCTAGGATACAGTACCAGATACTAAAACGTGATGGAAACAGAACCAGGTAGAGCAGACCCAATTTGTGGAGCTCCAATTTGTTCACAAACTTAGAAGCACTGCTAACCGATTCAAAGCAGGAAAAGGTGGAGGGCTACATCCGTCTGATTGGTCCAAACATCAACAGAACATGATCAGCCAGATCAGGGTTGGATCCAGTTGGGAGAAAAGAAGTGACCTCTTCCCATCCACAATTGTACAAAGCATTTTATTTCTGCTCATGGTTAAATTCGCTGAGTCATGACTTCTCGACTGAAACAGTATCTTAAGAAAATCTCTCACTCGTTAATTGTAGTGCTCTCTACATATCCTGGTAATTTTTTTGACATTTTAGTGCAAATTAGATAAAATCTCACTTTTGAGCCTAAAAACGTTTGTGTGGCGCCCTCTCAACCTTTCCAGTGGTACTACATTTGAATTTGGTCCCGGCCTCTCCATTGACTCTGCAATTCTGTGTGACGTCAGTTGGTGTGTGTGATGTCAGTTAGTGTGTGTGACGTCAGTTGGTGTGTGTGACGTCAGTTGGTGTGTGTGACGTCAGTTGGTGTGTGTGACGTCAGTTGGTGTGTGTGACGTCAGTTGGTGTGTGTGATGTCAGTTGGTGTGTGTGACGTCAGTTGATGTGTGTGACGTCAGTTGGTCTGTGTGACGTCATTTGGTGTGTGTGATGTCAGTTGATGTGTGTGATGTCAGTTAGTGTGTGTGACGTCAGTTGGGCTGTGTGACGTCAGTTGGTCTGTGTGACGTCAGTTGGTGTGTGTGACGTCAGTTGGTGTGTGTGACGTCAGTTGGTGTGTGTGACGTCAGTTGGTGTGTGTGACGTCAGTTGGTGTGTGTGACGTCAGTTGGTGTGTGTGACGTCAGTTGGTGTGTGTGACGTCAGTTGGTGTGTGTGACGTCAGTTGGTGTGTGTGACGTCAGTTGGTGTGTGTGACGTCAGTTGGTGTGTGTGACGTCAGTTGGTGTGTGTGACGTCAGTTGGTGTGTGTGACGTCAGTTGGGCTGTGTGACGTCAGTTGGTGTGTGTGACGTCAGTTGGTGTGTGTGACGTCAGTTGGTGTGTGTGACGTCAGTTGGGCTGTGTGACGTCAGTTGGTCTGTGTGACGTCAGTTGGTGTGTGTGACGTCAGTTGGTGTGTGTGACGTCAGTTGGTCTGTGTGACGTCAGTTGGTGTGTGTGACGTCAGTTGGTGTGTGTGACGTCAGTTGGTGTGTGTGACGTCAGTTGGGTGTGTGTGACGTCAGTTGGTGTGTGTGACGTCAGTTGGGCTGTGTGACGTCAGTTGGTGTGTGTGACGTCAGTTGGTGTGTGTGACGTCAGTTGGTGTGTGTGACGTCAGTTGGTGTGTGTGACGTCAGTTGGTCTGTGTGACGTCAGTTGGTGTGTGTGACGTCAGTTGGTGTGTGTGACGTCAGTTGGTCTGTGTGACGTCAGTTGGTGTGTGTGACGTCAGTTGGTGTGTGTGACGTCAGTTGGTGTGTGTGACGTCAGTTGGTGTGTGTGACGTCAGTTGGTCTGTGTGACGTCAGTTGGGCTGTGTGACGTCAGTTGGTGTGTGTGACGTCAGTTGGTGTGTGTGACGTCAGTTGGTGTGTGTGACGTCAGTTGGGCTGTGTGACGTCAGTTGGTGTGTGTGACGTCAGTTGGTGTGTGTGACGTCAGTTGGTGTGTGTGACGTCAGTTGGGCTGTGTGACGTCAGTTGGTGTGTGTGACGTCAGTTGGTGTGTGTGATGTCAGTTGGTGTGTGTGACGTCAGTTGGGCTGTGTGACGTCAGTTGGTCTGTGTGACGTCAGTTGGTCTGTGTGACGTCAGTTGGTCTGTGTGACGTCAGTTGGTGTGTGTGACGTCAGTTGGTGTGTGTGACGTCAGTTGGTCTGTGTGACGTCAGTTGGTCTGTGTGACGTCAGTTGGTCTGTGTGACGTCAGTTGGTGTGTGTGACGTCAGTTGGTGTGTGTGACGTCAGTTGGTGTGTGTGACGTCAGTTGGTGTGTGTGACGTCAGTTGGTGTGTGTGACGTCCGTTGGTGTGTGTGACGTCAGTTGGTGTGTGTGACGTCAGTTGGTGTGTGTGACGTCAGTTGGTCTGTGTGACGTCAGTTGGTCTGTGTGACGTCAGTTGGTGTGTGTGACGTCAGTTGGGCTGTGTGACGTCAGTTGGTCTGTGTGACGTCAGTTGGTGTGTGTGACGTCAGTTGGTGTGTGTGACGTCAGTTGGGCTGTGTGACGTCAGTTGGTCTGTGTGACGTCAGTTGGTGTGTGTGACGTCAGTTGGTGTGTGTGACGTCAGTTGGTGTGTGTGACGTCAGTTGGTGTGTGTGATGTCAGTTGATGTGTGTGATGTCAGTTGGTGTGTGTGACGTCAGTTGGTCTGTGTGACGTCAGTTGGTGTGTGACGTCAGTTGGTGTGTGTGACGTCAGTTGGTGTGTGTGACGTCAGTTGGTGTGTGTGACGTCAGTTGGTGTGTGTGACGTCAGTTGGTGTGTGACGTCAGTTGGTGTGTGTGACGTCAGTTGGGCTGTGTGACGTCAGTTGGTCTGTGTGACGTCAGTTGGTGTGTGTGACGTCAGTTGGTGTGTGTGACGTCAGTTGGGCTGTGTGACGTCAGTTGTTGTGTGTGACGTCAGTTGGTGTGTGTGACGTCAGTTGGGCTGTGTGACCTCAGTTGGTCTGTGTGACGTCAGTTGGTGTGTGTGACGTCAGTTGGTGTGTGTGACGTCAGTTGGTGTGTGTGACGTCAGTTGGTCTGTGTGACGTCAGTTGGTGTGTGTGACGTCAGTTGGTGTGTGTGACGTCAGTTGGTGTGTGTGACGTCAGTTGGTGTGTGTGACGTCAGTTGGTGTGTGTGACGTCAGTTGGTGTGTGTGACGTCAGTTGGTGTGTGTGACGTCAGTTGGTGTGTGTGACGTCAGTTGGGCTGTGTGACGTCAGTTGGTCTGTGTGACGTCAGTTGGTGTGTGTGACGTCAGTTGGTGTGTGTGACGTCAGTTGGTCTGTGTGACGTCAGTTGGTGTGTGTGACGTCAGTTGATGTGTGTGACGTGCGTCTCTCTGCGCCAGTGATATAAACCCATCCAACTCTCACACGCCCCAGCAGCAGGTTGGAGTATTCTGGCGACATCTAGTGGTTTAAAATTAAAATACATGAGTTGACAACCACTGCTGCTGAGATAACTGTGTGGATTAGGTTCAGGTGTGTAGCTCTACAATTATCTTGGTGTGTAAACAAGGGTGTAATGAGACTTTCTGGTGTGTAAACTATTACTTTCAGCAGCAATGACAACTGTCTGTTATTTTTTTCGTATGACTGTCAATCACAGCCCAGACCCCGCCCAACGATAAGCCCCCCTTCTTGTCCCTTGGTCCTCCAGGCAACGCCCTTTTTAAGAGAACATGTTTAAATGTAGATGTGGGCGGAGTCAGGCTGGGCACAGGTGTTTAGTCGCTCTTTAAGTCCTCTGAGATAACCACCGTTGTATGCAGCTAATATCTGGAACAGTCTTCCTGAGAATATGAGACAGGCGTTTTTAAATCTAGGCTAAAAACAGTTCTGTTGCGCTGATTTTATCTTTGATTTGTATCGGTACTTTTTTGAATGCACTGTAGCTGTTTATGTGTGATTTTAATGTTTTAAGGTTTTTTTAACTACTCGTGTGATTTTGCTTTTTTAGGTTTTACATATTTCTTGTGCTCTTAGTGTGTGTGTATGTGTGTATTTATGTTATGTATATTTTAATGTTTGATGATTTATGCATGATGTGATATGGGTTGTAAGGCGCTTTGTGTTGCCTTGTGTAGGAAAGACGCTCTACAAATAAAAGTGGATTGATTGATTGTGATTTAGGGCGATACAATCAACTGAAATTAAGATACATGTTGCCAAATTTGAGCCATTTTGAACTTATTTTTTCTCATTCCTTTTTGCACTATAGCCTCTGTTCTCTGGCCCTGCCGGTGGGGACGAGGTGTGAAGGGAGCCTGCGGAGGAGGGGGATTCCATTGAGCAGAGGCTGACCCTGAACACCGGCCTTCCTGTCCTGCTCCGGGCATGGACGGTGGCCCGGAGGAGACAAAGAAAGACACCTCTGTGTGCGACGCGCCGGCTGAGAATGTGTGTCTGTGCGTCTCTGTGTGCTGGACAACAGAGACAGTGTGTGTGTGTGTGTGTGTGTGTGTGTGTGTGTGTGTGCGTGTGTGTGTCCTGTGACAAATAGGACAGAAGGCTCGTGATTGGTCAGCTGTTTGGGGTTAAATCTAGTCATTCAAAGCCATTATCTAAAAAGAATAAAAAGCTAAAAGGTTGCAGGTTGTATTCCTATGCTAATTTTCTCCCACTAGGTTTTTTGATTTTTTCTTTGCAATAGGGTCTAAAGAGAGTGGTGATGATCCAGACATGTATGGACGTGATCTATCAACATTTATGGAAATTGGACCAATGACTTAAAGGAGCAGTATGTAAAAATCTGTCCAAAAGTGGTACTGCAGCCTCTCCCACTCTCCCTGACTCAGGTTGCCAGATATGCAAACTAATCCAGCTGGGACCATAATAGTCAAATAGACAAGAATTTTGTCAACAATAAATCTATAACCAACACCTTTTTCACAAAGATGGATATCCTGGTTTTATTTTGTCATTAATGATTAAAAAATAACGAGACCTTTTTTAGTTCCGTGGCCACATGGTACTTTACCAGTGAGATTAGCTCAACACGGTGAGTTCTGGCAACCCGGATCACAGACTTTCTGATTGGTGAAACGGTGGAGGGCGGGACATTGAAATGAAAACAATACCTGTAAACCTAATCTTGAAATTTTAATATCCTTGAACTTGTAGAAGTATTGGAAAAGAGCAAAATTTATCAATGCCTTTTGAAAGATTACGGCCCTTTAATCTGTAAAAAAAATTCTGAAAATCTTACATATTGCTACTTTCATGTTTTTTCTATCAATGCATTTACTGTGTTTCAACTGTTTGATTCTCTGATCTGAGTTGAAAAATCAAACGGTTTTGTACAGTCCACAGAGAGAACTACTGCTGTGATTGAGGGCTGTACAAAAATATATTGAATTGAATATTCAGTCTACGTCTTGACCACATAGACTTTGGTCCTGTTTGACCAGACCCTTCTGAAGGCGGGAGATTTATTTAGCATCTTTTAGACCGAGCCCGACCTCCACATTTCCACCCAGTCCACACAAACTCTATTAACCTCCCTTTTAGCGAGGTGCTTTTACGGTCGCGCTGCTAAACGGACGCTCGGAGGGGGCAGTCTGGTGTGAGTGCTAAGGGGAAGTGGCGTGGTGCTATTTCGGAGGTGCTAGCTCGTATGCTACCTGCTGCTAACGCTATGGGGCTGTCAAAGAGGGACTCAGGCTGGGGGACAGGTCAGAGCAGCTGACCATACACACACACACACACATGAACACACAAACACACACATGCACGCACCCACATACACACACATGCGCGCTCTCAGACATGCACACACACTCAAAGACCCACGTACACACACAAGCATACGCACACGAACACACACATGCGCGCTCTCAGACACACACACACACGCACACGTTTGGCCCATGAGCTAATGCCGCCTTAAAGGGGATCTACTCTAAGCTATGAAATCATGGGAGTAGAGTTCACATTGTTGGATTTTGCCAAAAGCGGCTGAACTAAAAGCCAGCGTTACCGTGACGACCACTACTGGATGTGTTTCACTATTTTAAAGCAGTATATGTACGTTTTGTGGTATATGTTCCATCACCTGCCAGTCAAGAGAAAGAAGATACCTATGTTACTTTTTGTATCATTCTGAAGGTGAGAATATCCTCCATGATGACTAGGAAATAAAAATACTATGTAACTAGCCCTCACTAATGAACAGCAAATGTAGTGCTAATTAATGTATAATTAGTGTATAATGTATGGTTAATTAGCCTTTTATTGTTATTTATTAAGCACTTATTAGTCCTTTACATGGTCTCATTCAACATTTCCCATGAGGGTTAGGGGACACTAATTAGCACTTAATTAGCTGTTACTTAGTGAGGGCTAATCTAAAGTGTTACATAATACTATCATTGGTCCCTAAAAGTGAAAACAAATAGTTGATATAATATAGAAAACAAAAAGGAGAGGGTCCACTTAACTTTAACAAAAATCCTTTAATTGATATAATATGTCTAATTTTGGGCCGAAATGGCTACATACCAGGGCTTTAAAGCTGAAATAACAACTTTGTCACATATTTTACCTTTGTAACATTGAGCATCATGGAGTTTGCATGTTCTCCTTGTGTCTGAGTGGGTTTCCTCCTGGCGCTCCGGTGTCCTCCACCACCCAGAACACCCAAAAACGGCTCCTGGCAGATTTCCCAAGAGACATTTGAGGTTTCTAATAATGGAGGTTAGTGAAGAAGTAAGGTCTCTCACTTTTCTGCTACTGTGGTCCCTTGTCGAGGGTTTCAGGACAGTGATGATCCAGGACGTTCATGGATCTATGGCTCCTAAGTGTCTGTTATCATTGCATTTCCTTTGTTCCAACACTGTTTGATTCTCTGATCTGTTGTTGGCGAATTGACAACAGTGTAAAGTCCTCCGAGACGACTGCTGTTGTGATCTAGGGCTAGAGGACTCTTTAGATCTTGACTGTTTTTACTTTACTTTGTACGGAGCAGTGTTCAGCACATTAGTTTGTGTGTTGTTTGTCTCTTTTCTTGTTGCGTTTGTTTTAGATGGACCCTCTGTGTGTCTGGATTAAAGGTGCACTGTGTAGTTTTTACTCCCATCGAGCATTGAGATCATATATTGCAATTTACGGTGCAACAGTAGCTTCTCCAGACAATATGTGGTCTTTGACAGTGGTCCGCAACTCCCGCTCAAACTCCTTTTTGTCCCTTATCGACCACTGTATTTCAAGATGGCGCACTGACACAGAGGGTCCTCCAGCCTCATGGACATTTATAAGTTAAAATTTAAGCCTATGACAAGAATTCAAAAACATAGTGGCGGTAAATATTCTTAAAAAAGGTCACATTTGTTATTGGTTGTTTTTGTATGTTTTTTTCATTTGAATGTTTTTTTCATTTGGAGCAACTTTAAAATGTACACACAGTACCTTTAAAGATGAAATACCAAAATAAGATCAGCTTCAATCCTTCACAGTTATACATTTTGAGACCTCAACCTCTACTGCTTTTTCCTTCTGTCATTTCAGATCTGATGTGTTTCTGTGTGTTTCAGCGTGTTGTATGTCCTATTTTATTTGTCTTGATATCAACGTGCCTCCTGGGACTAAACGGATGAAAATTTACCTAAATGGCTAACTCTGGCACATTATTTTATTTTGAAAAACACATGTTGACTAATGTGCACTGTCCCATTTCAAATAAAGACAAAAAAAAAAAAATCTGAGTTCACTGCGCACATTTTTTGCAACACAATCATGGCTGCGATTTCAACCAACAATCATGGATTCCAGCAGTACATAGGCGTTCCTTTGAAGTAAGCTAATCTGGAATAGTGAGTTCCCTTCAGCGTGGCTCCGACAGCAGTCACCGACACCATCAGTGCCGTGTGCAGTACACATGGCGAGTACACATACCGGGCATAGCGGCCGACGGCGCCGTAATCCAATGATTGTGCATGTCTAGGCTGGGCCAAAGCTAATGCTAATGCTATTATCTCATTAGCTGGCTCACTTCATCCCGAGACCAGGAGTCCAATCGAATTAAAGTGGCACCAGCGTGAACCGTAGCAGACGTGACGTTGGGATTGTTCTGTCCAAGACAAAAACAGGAGCTCGGGGAACACGATGTGACGACCGCACGGTGGAGAGGCCACTGTCTATATGCGGAATTTTTGTTAGATTTATGGAGCTATAATCTGGAACAGTCTCCCTGAAAATGTGAGACAGGCTTCTTCTCTGACAACTAAGATTAACACATCCTTTATTTGTTCCACAGTGGGGAAATTCCAGTGTTGCATCACCAGTTAGAGAAGGACACAGCACAAGATAAGTGAAAAAACTAAATATACTAAGATTAATTAAAATGTCTATAGCTTTGGAATGATAAAGAAGCAAGTTTAAAATACTGTATATGATATAATAGTAAATATACAGTTGCATGTATACATCTGTGTAGAGTGCAGGGGATGGGACAACGTGACTTTAAGTGAAGTGGACACATGTGCTTCAATGTTTACTTTTACAATTCTATCTTTTGGGACAAGCATAATGTACACAGCCATCTTTAATAGGGATTCATAAAAAAGTAAAGGTACTTTTACTCAGTAACTACAAGAGCTGCTTACATACAACATGTGGTCGTTAGAAGCAGCGCGCGCACGTCTCATTAAAGCATGTTTATGTTCTGTTACTGCACTGCGCCCATGAGCCAGACACTAACAATCTGTCACCACAACTGCACCCCATCTATCAGGCACCCACCCAGCCACGGCCCTCACCCACCCAGGGCCCTCACCCACTCAAGGCCCTCACCCACTCAAGGCCCTCACCCACCCAGGGCCCTCATCCACCCACGGCCCTCATCCACCCACGGCCCTCACCCACCCAGGGCCCTCATCCACCCACGGCCCTCACCCACTCACGGCCCTCACCCACCCACGGCCCTCACCCACTCAAGGCCCTCACCCACCCACGGCCCTCACCCACTCACGGCCCTCACCCACCCACGGCCCTCACCCACCCACGGCCCTCACCCACCCACGGCCCTCACCCACTCACGGGCCTCACCCACTCACGGGCCTCACCCACTCACGGGCCTCACCCACTCACGGGCCTCACCCACTCACGGGCCTCACCCATCCAACCAGGCTCTCACCCATTTGTCTCTCGCACCCCACAGAGCTGGTAGTGAGGTCGCCACACAGGAGGGTAAGGGTCATGCAAGCACCCGGAGGAAACCTACGCAGGGTCTCGGACTGAACCAGCCTCGGACTCAGTGTTGCCAACTCCTCAGTAAGGAAAGTAGCTATTGGCTGTCCCAAAAGTCGCTAGAAGTCGCTAAATGACGTCATCGCCTAATTTGCATAATTGGCAATTTGCAAATAACTGTAACGGACGCTGTAGGAGAGAGGAATAACGTAGTGGGAGAGACAAAAGTGAGTAAAAGACCCCCTAAATATGTTTAGAACTACAAATGTACAAAAATAATTTCAACATTAACAACATTTAATGATTTTAATGCTTTGTCTAGTCGCTATAGGGTCTGAAAAGTCGCTAAATCTAGCGACAAAGTCGCTAAGTGGGCAACACTGCTCGGACTCGCTCTGATATAACTTCCAGCCTAGAATCAGGACCTATCCAACATTTAAAGTCCTGAAAAATGTGTTGAAATCAAACCAGCCATGCTCTCATAGCTGAAGTTCTGCTTTTCTTTTGACTTTCTCTTTCTCTTCTCATTTAAAATGTATTGTTTGTACTGTTGCCTAACTGTGTGTTTGCATCTTTCTACCTGTCACGGTTTAGATTTATTTCCTGTTTTATTCAGTGATTTGTTATCCCCTGTGTCGTCTTTACTTCCTGATTCCTAATTACCTCATGTCTTTCACCTGTGGCTTGTTTAACCCCGTTTTTGGGCTCATTTCATTTTACCCACATGACACTACCCGTTTTTTTGTGCTAATTCCGGCAAATTTATGTTAACGCTATTCGCAGACACATTGATTATTATGTACTGCCCTAAATTCAAATAGATAAATACATCTTGCCAGATTAAACTTGGACGTGTACAGTAGAAAATGCATTTATCAATTCGTGGAAAGATCTAAGAAAGATTAAGAAGAGATCCTTAATCCATCCCAGAGTGAGGAATGAGGAGCACACGACACAAGATAAGTGAATAGAATCTCTAACTCAAGCATTATAAGGACGCAAGAATAAAACCTCTAACTTTAGTGTACTGAAGAGGCATTAAGTATCAACTAGATTTCAGCCTAGTAAGGAATTAAGTATAAAAGGTCTGACTTTCGCATAATAAAGAAGAAAGTATAAATAAAATACTGTATATTCTAGAGCAAAAAATATACATTACTACTGTTTACAACTGTACATGTTAGCATTAGCGTGAGGGAACGGGACAAAGTGACTCAGCAAAGTCTCATGTCGTTCTATACCCCTGACCCTAATACACTAAAGCTAACTCTAACCCTAATTCTTGGGTTTCATTAAACTGGCCAGTAGGGGGCGAATGAGCAGAGGTGGGACCACTCAGTTTTGCTCCCGTTGAAAACCATGTAAAGTCTTTTATGGAGTCAAAAGGCTCTCCTCCTGTGCGGTGTACGGTTGTTGTAACAGTCTTAATCGGGGACTCTCAATTCTAAGGGAGTACTAAAAAATATTTCTCAAAAGAGTCTTGATCTCTGGCATTTTTGGAAAAAATAATCATTGGGGTGGCCAGCAGGGGGCGCTTATCTGGGAAAGCCTTGATCCACCTCGCCCGCCTCATTCCAGTTTTTTGTTTCAAAGTGTCCTCCTTTATATGAGACCACAGTTGGAACATGAACAAACTCTGGTCTTTCTCTCATGCGGTTGCTACAAGCGTACACCGCACAAAAAGATGGCCTTTTGCAGCACTTCTTCTTCTACTATATCTTTGTGTATAAACCCGACAGACTGCACCGCCAGGGTACGTCACGCCCGGTCCAGTCCTGTCCCACGTATGTCATTCGCGCCACTGCCCCGACGTCATATGAAACCCAAGAATACACAAAAGCTAACCCTAACCCTCTCCCTAACCCTAATGCTGACCCTAACCCTGATACCCTAATGCTGACCCTAACCCTGATACACTAAAGCTAACCCTAATGCTGACCCTAACCCTGATACCCTAATGCTGACCCTAACCCTGATACCCTAATGCTGACCCTAACCCTGATACCCTAATGCTAACCCTAACCCTGATACACTAAAGCTAACCCTAGTGCTGACCCTAACCCTGATACACTAAAGCTAACCCTAACCCTGATACACTAAAGCTAACCCTAGTGCTGACCCTAACCCTGATACACTAAAATGCAGTAAATATATATTTGTATGTTTACATCTGTACATGTTAGCATTAGCATGAGGGAAAGGGACAAAGTGACTCAGTAAAGTCACATGTGGTTCTAAATTGCACATTCTGACATTATTCAAATGATTATTGCTCAGATAAGTGAAGTGACAGTGGACAGTTGGATGTTTTGGGCATCATTGTGAAATCTGTATGTGACTTATTTCTTCCTATTGCGCACGTAGAGGCGTGTCCTTGTGCAGGGCTGCGGTGCTGCGGCGCTCTCTAAGTTATTGTCCAATAAAAGGCTTTGGCGCCACGAGAGAGGAGCATGTCACCGCGGCTGTCTGCCCCAGTCTGCAGTCACCGTCTGCCCCAGGCCACAGCTCACCCATCACCACCCAAAACCCTGGCCCTGAACCTGACCCGGACCCGGACCTCTGAAATGTCCCCACTGTGGGCCAAATCAAGCATCTCTTAACCCTGACCCTAGTATTCATTCATTCATTCTTCCTTGACTCTCTGAGGATCCTGTTGAAAGTGCCCAGGTTCTGTAGCGCCAGTGAAATGTTTATAAATTGTGTTGTCACAGATATTGTATTTACTCTTTTATGTGCAGAGCCTTGAGTCTGTCAAACCAGATCATCCAAACTCTGGTCTGTCCTAGGAGGAGCTCTGTTAGGTTCTCCTCTGACTTATGGAGGCATTGGAGGTCCTGCCTGTACACCTATTTTTAGTTTTTATTGTATACGTATTTTTAGTTTTAGTTTTTTAATCTATGAACCAGTTTTCTCTGTGTTCTTTTTTTTTTATTTTTTTTATTATTAAATCAACATAAAAACACAAGATACACTTACAATTAGTGCTCCAACCCAAAACCCTCCCACCTTCACCCCCATTCACACTCATTCACACTCATTCACACTCATTCACACTCATTCACACTCATTCACACTCATTCACACAAACGGGTTGTTTCCATATTAACATTCTGGTTCCTACAGTATATATCAATGCAGTCTGCACGGGATGAAGTCCGTGAGGCACTGCCCTAAACCAGTGCCTTTCGGAAACCACATCCACCGCAATAGGGTTGTGTGTGCTGCTGGTCCACTGTTAGTAGTAACATTTACCAGTTACATTTTGCTTAAATTCAAAAATTATTGTATTAAAAAATAAAATAGAAAAAAAATACAAAATAAAAATTCTCTGTGTTCTTAATAAAGAATGAATTGAATTGAATTCCTTCATTACTTTAACTCTCTCCTTAAATACTAATACACAAAAGCGAGCCCTAATCCTCACTCGAATAACCTAACCCTAACCTTAAAATACTCAGAACATTTCTAGACATTTATCAGTAATCTGCCCCTTATGGACCAATGGTTCTGTGTGTTTCTTTGGAATGTGTTTTGTATCATTGCATATATTGTGTCTGACCTGTTGAACTGGGAATTCAATGTTTTGTTAAGGAACTACTGACGTGATTTAGGGCTATACAAGATTATATTGAATTGAATTGAATTGAATACACTAACCATAACCCTAATCCAATAAAACTAACCTGAACCCTAATCCTAATCCATTTACGCTAGCCCTAAATCGAACCTCAAATCCCGGGGTCCCATTTTGGATCAGTTTGTCTGAACATCTATCTAGCTCAGGGGTCTCCAACCTGTGGCTCGGGAGCAACCAGTAGCTCGCCAGCCCCTCTCAGGCAACTCCCAAAGGATTTAGAAATTAACAAATTTTACATGTGCTGTCCATGTTTTGTCGTAATTATTCAATAGATTTTTTAATATAACTGCAAAAAGGAGAAGCTCTCTGGATCTTTTTTGTATAAAACTAGCTCTTTGATTGAAAAAGGTTGGAGACCTCTGATCCAGCTGTTAGCAACACTGCAGCCTATGCCAACTTGTTCTGTTGTGTTTGTTGGTATCGTGAACTCCTGCGCGTCAACATGTTTACGCGTGTAATGAGCGGGCAGGGCGCTAAAGTGGCAGCTCGCCCCACACGGCCTGGCCCGGCCCGGCGCTGATCTGTAATCTGCAGAGCTTTGATGCCCCCGCAGCCTTATCATCCGCCGTGTTTGGCCAGTCTTTGAACACGGCGCGCAGCAGAAGGACCTTTGTTTAGCATCCCTAATATTGACAGGGGGCGAGGCTACGCTAGGAGTCTCGGCTTCAGCAACAGCTCGGGGAGCTCGGATTTTTGCGCTTGGGAAATCATGACAGAATTGAATGAATGGAGACGCACTGATCCAGCTTTTTTATGTCTGAGACCGCTCTAGATACTGTGCCTTTCCATTTTCATTTGCAGAGACCTGACATGAATGATATAGAAAATAAAACCTCAAAAACTGTCATAGTCAAACTGTTACAAAAAGTGTCAAATATTGTTTTTTAACTATGATCCTGCAGTAACTATAGAACTGGGCTCTTGTAAATAATATGGGGTGATATCAGCCAATAAATAGTTTTTTGACATCAACTGAAAGGCCTTAGGTATTGGTTTAATAGCACCCTGATACCTTTTACCTTTTTTAATTTGGTTTTATTTACAGTTAGCTTGGTTGGGACAGTGCATGTTAACGAACACACTAGCCATAGGTTAATATTTTACCGTTGTCCCACAGTCGCACTCACAACCACACACTCATTCATCCTGAACTGTTGTACATGTTTTAGTGGTAGGGCAAATCTACACAGACATGGGGAGAACATGCAAATTCAGAAAGGGCCTGTTCCGACCAGGTTTCGAACCCAGTCTTGCTGAGACTGAGAGGGCTATCCACTCAGCTGCCGTGCAGCCCCTGATACCATCAAACCAATGCCTGATACCATCAAACCAATGCCTGATACCATCAAACCAATGCCTGATACCATCTAACCAATGCCTGATACCATCAAACCAATGCCTGATACCATCTAACCAATGCCTGATCCAACAATATTTCCAGCATCAGCACAAATATCCACACTGTTTCTTTAAACTACAGTAGAACATGAATCTATGATTGTCTGTGATTTGCTAACTGCTAACTCTTTTTAGGGGCAGGGTGAACTTTAAGTCCTGAGAGATTATTTCTTGGCCCTATTTTATGACCATTTTACACACAAAAAAAGTGTATTAATTACATCCAAATTAGGACCGTATCTGGTCATCGGCAGAACTGAACAGACACAAGATCCAACACAATGACCAAGTATTGTATCGGTGAATACCAATTTTTGAACTCAATATACTCTTTATGAGGCCTTGAGATTTTCAGGTTCTTCAAATGTATCAAGAAATGTCAAATTTGTTCTTATTTACTATTAGTTTTAGTACACAGCAAAGGAATGTGGTCATATTTGCTTGAATCAAGTAGTTTTTTTTATCTGAATTGGAGTACAAATGTAGTCTTCAACAATATTTTCCAATGAGACAACACCATTTAGTCTGATTTCAAGAACTGTTGCTTTATTTTCTCAATCCAAGACATTGGAGACATTTCTTGTATCTTTTTAAAACAAGATCATTTTGCTTTGTCCCGTTGGCAAATCTTGTTTTAAGGCTGAGTCAAAATGTTGCAAATTTGAGCCATTTTTCACTTCTTTTTCATCCCTTTTTGCAGCGTAAACAGTTGTTGCCCTTGATACTCGGCTGCTATCTCCCCAAACAGCTCATCATATGTCTCCTTTAAGATGGGTAAACATGGCCGCTCCCCTCGCCCCGGTTACGCAGACGTTCTCGGAGCACAAACTTCCCTTTGTGTGGCGTGTTATTAAATGTATTCCCCCTTGAGGACTGTATGAATGAGTGTCACGTTGAGGCATTTATGGTCCTCTTCCAGTGAATTGTGTTGGACCCACCCCCCCACACACCCCTCCAGACTTCACCACCCCCCACAGCAGAGCGAGGCGTGCTGATGTAATGCAGTGCAGGGCGCAGTGAAGCGGGGGTAAGTGACAGAGAGAGGAGAGCACAAAGCCTCTCTCCTGGGACGTCCTGACTGAGCAGGAATGTAAACACGACGGCTGAATAAACGCCACTTAGCCCGGACACAACTGTACACGGCCCGCAGTACACACCCAGGCCTCTGCGCCGCCGCACACTTTGGACAAGAAAATGATACAATACTGTAAAAATAAAGCAATATTTTCTTTACGATATCAAAATTTGACAACATACCCAGCGGCTACACCACCTCTGCTGCTGTGACCGAAAGGGCTGTTGCAATTTTAATTCTATTGTTGGTAACTTTTAGACTGATGTATTTATTTATTTGGATGGATGTGTTTCGGTCAATTTAATTCAATGTATTTTTGTAGAGCCCTAAATCAAAATAGTAACAATCTCGGAAGACTTTACGAAGCTGTCGATTCGCCAACACAAATCAGAGAATCAAACAGTTAAAAAACAGGAAATGCAATGATAAAAAAACGCATAGAGCCATTGGTCCATAAGGGGCAGAGACCAAAACTCTAAAAACTCTATAACCCCAGTGGGATAAAATGAGAAACCTTTCTGCTGCCGGACACCTGCATTTCTTCTACTGGGATCAAAAACTTATCTATCACTCAATCTATATCTACTGATCTGTATTTTTGATCACTCCCAATAAAATACCACTATATTGCAAAGACAATACATACGCCCCGTTTCCACCAGCCCTACTTGGCCCAACCCTTATTTTTGCTACCTTTTTTTGCTCAATTTTTTGTATTCTTTTCTGTTTTAGCGGCCAAACTGTGAGTCCCTGGGCAAGGTGTGGGGGTGACATCAAAAGGGATTTAGATGTTCTAAATCACAAAGAATGCATGAAAGTCTCGTGGTGGACTTCTGCTAATAGGTAAAGCTAATACTTTTGCCAAGTCTCCGCTCACGGTGTCATAGTCTGAGGAGTGCCATGAGTTTGTAAAAGGAGCATTTGGACAGAAGGTGCAGGGAGACGTGTTTGTTTGACCGTTGGCAGAATCGGCCCCGTATCGTGGGGTTTATCATCCCGCGGGAGCAGTAGACATTGTTCGTTGCTGCCGTTAGTGTGTAGTTCTGTAATGGGAGTGGAAATGGGAGAGGTGTTGGAGTGTACAAGGACAGCTCCACATTCCTCTGGCTCCTCTCACCTTATCTACAGCTCCCTCGCTAAAATAAGACCACTCACAACGGCTCACGTGGCCCCATGCAGAGGCCCCAGATCAAGCAGCCAGGCCACACTGTTTATTCACAATACTAAATACACCTGGAGTTGTTTTAGCTCCATCCACAAAAGCCATCCAAGCCTGGGAATCCCCATGTTGCTGTGTGCGCAAATGTCATATTGAACAGACAACTTGGAAACTCAGGCCGAAATGTTGGCATGGATTTGGGGACCAATCACAGAACAGATTGGCAGCAGACGCTATCGGCCCCCATGTTTCACTTCCACAAACAGCAGCATCTTTTGGTGCGGTTGTGGGGACATTATATTATTATTTTTATTTTTCTCTTCTTTCCTTCCCTTCGAGATTCTTTCTGTCGGTCTACATGAGATAGAATTGATACGTTCAGTTAAATAAACGGCTTTGGACGATCATAAACCACACCTCTTCTATGAGCTGTAGATCCAGGACGCTGTAGGTCCAGGACTGAGGCTGTAGATCCAGGAGTGGACTGAGGCTGTAGATCCAGGAGAGGACTGAGGCTGTAGATCCAGGAGAGGACTGAGGCTGTAGATCCAGGAGAGGACTGAGGCTGTAGATCCAGGAGAGGACTGGGGCTGTAGATCCAGGACTGAGGCTGTAGATCCAGGACTGAGGCTGTGGATCCAGGACTGAGGCTGTGGATCCACGGACTGAGGCTGTAGATCCAGGACTGAGGCTGTGGATCCAGGACTGAGGCTGTGGATCCAGGAGTGGACTGAGGCTGTAGATCTAGGACTGAGGCTGTAGATCCAGGACTGAGGCTGTAGATCCAGGACTCAGGACTGAGGCTGTAGATCCAGGACTCAGGACTAAGGCTGTGTGGTGCAAGACTGAAGAGGCTCCCAGGCATGAATGGGGGTGCAGCCCGGGAACCAAACTGAACGAGAAATGCCAAAGTAAGCTCCAGAGGACGGGCCTAAATGTGGACAGAGGACAGGTGGCTGTGGGGGAGTTTGTCTAATGGGCCGTCCCGTATATGCACAGGCCCTTCTGATTCTTTCATGTGGATGAATAAAGTATGAGGTGGGCCCAGACAGCAGCAGGCTAAAGAACCACTTAGCACCTCTGGCCACGCGCCCATCTCCACGTGTGCAGAGGTGAAACAGCCAGGGTCCCGGGGATGGCCATCTGGGTACAAGGAGGGCAATGGTTTTAAAAGACAAGGTTTAAAATGTTCCAACAAAGCTCTATCTCTGTTACTCAAAAAGAACCACGCTGTAGACCCATCTAACCCAGGACAGGACCTCGGTGAGGGATCCCAGGCTTTGGAAACACTCGCTCATAAGGCCAGCTCTTTAGACTTTGACTTAGACAGACTTTATTGATCCACAAGGGAAATTGCGTTGTCACAGTAGCTTGCATAGTAAACTCTCAGCGTCAGAGTGTTTCTTCAGACATGACTAAACTAATTTTTTAGTTTTTTTCTTTTTTTATTGCTGCCATCCAAGCGTTTTCATTTGAGTCAGACCGTAATGGTAGCAGTGCATTAGTTCGGCAGAGTCCGCTACGGGCAAACCCTGTTCAAAGCAGGGCAAGGCAAGTTTATTTCTATGGCACAGTTCATACACGGTAACTCAAAGGGCTGAACAAAACACAACAAATAACCTGGATTTGAACATTATCAGAGAATTCACTTCAATTCAATTTTGTTCTTGTATCGCCCCTTAATCACAACCGTACTTATCTCAGAGGACGTAGCAAAACTATTGAAATCGCCAACACGGAGCAGAGAATCAAACAGTTAAAACACAAATAATATGCGTGTCTCGCATTTTCAGGAAGACTTTAAACTCCAGATCTTGAACCAGGTCAAAACCAGACATGTCCAAACTGAGGCCCGAGGGTCAATTTCGGCCCTTTGTGTCATTTCTTGGCCTTATGCCTTGCTAACCTAATGTAGAGTTTGCGATCAGGCAATATTGGTTACACTTGGTTGTAAAGCAGCCGTTGACAACATCTGTATACGCTGATATTGGTTTTTGATCCTGTCATAGAATTTCGTTGATATATAGTTCTCGCGGCCCTGAACCATCGTCAGAGCCAGTCAAAATTTATGGACATTTGATTCTCTCATCTGTGTTGGCGAATCAACAGCTTTGTAAACTCCTCCGAGATAACCACTGTTGTGATATAGACCAAAACACAATTAAATTGAATTGAATGGAATTACAGAGGGTGAAAACCAGCCAGGTGAATACGCAGCACATGCTCATTGTGGTCCCCTCTGCTTTGGGGAGGGAGGCCTTGCTTGACGGGCCCCACCTGGCCTGGGTTTGCGCGCAGGATTAGCGTGGGGCCGGGGAAGGGAAGGGGCGCCTGGGAAAGCCACAGACTCCCAGACGCTTTGCTGTGGTCAGCCGCGTCCATGGCAACGGGGGGAACAGAACTCAAGGTGCGGCGAAGAGGGTTTTGTCAGACACTGTTCAAAATGGAGGAAAAGTTTACGCATTCTTTTACAGTTAGATTAGCTCTTTGTTTGACAGGTCAAAGTTTAAAGAACAGATAGTATGCTTTCAGTTCGGCCCTAGACATCACCACAGACGACTCACTTTGGCATTGCGTTAATTAGAACGTAATCTGTAAGTAGAAAATATATACGGATCTCAGAATGGTCCCACTTCTCCCACGAGATGGAGAGGTTTGATTAGTGTTTGTGGAATGATTTTTCCACCAGAAGTTACTGATATCAGCGAGGATGGGACTAAAACAACTCCATCAGGATATTTTGGTAGGACAGAAAAGATCTCTGCAGCCTCAGTCCTGGATCTACAGCCTCAGTCCTGGGTCTACAGCCTCAGTCCTGGATCTACAGCCTCAGTCCTGGATCTACAGCCTCAGTCCTGGATCTACAGCCTCAGTCCTGGATCTACAGCCTCAGTCCTGGGTCTACAGCCTCAGTCCTGGATCTACAGCCTCAGTCCTGGGTCTACAGCCTCAGTCCTGGATCTACAGCCTCAGTCCTGGGTCTACAGCCTCAGTCCTGGATCTACAGCCTCAGTCCTGGGTCTACAGCCTCAGTCCTGGGTCTGCAGCCTCAGTCCTGGATCTACAGCCTCAGTCCTGGATCCAGAAATCATAAAAAATCACCACAATCCTTAGACCCTTCTGATTTTTTATGATTTTTGGACAGTGTTGATCCCGCCCCCCATGGACCACTGCCTCCTGTGTTTGTGTTTGTTATTATTGTAGTTCCTGTGTATGAACTGTGCTATACAAATAAACTGACAACTTCTCTAAAAGATTGGCAAATAAACAGTTTTAGTGAAATTTTCTGGATATTTTTATCTATTGATTGATTTCTCGATGAGACACTGGCTGGTCCAAATGGTGTGGAGGGCTGCATAAGGGAAAGCCCTAGAACAACACACCCATGAAGTCCTATTACTACAGTACCATCTCACCTGACTTCACACGAGTGCACACCGAGTTCTTTGTGGAGCAGCCCACTGGTGAGGTTGTAGACCAGGACGGAGCCATTACTTGTACCTGCAACACAAGACAAAGTGCAGCCGCTGAGAAATATGACATGTGAGAATAGAAAGGCTGGCATTACTTATCGGTGGACCATCTCTCCTGTCGCCCCTGACAACCCGATGTTCCCCTTCACTGTAGCTGCAGTTATGTGGATACAGGCAGTACATCAGGCTTCTGTCACTCAGCTCATAGCCTGAGAGCTGCGGCGATATGTTCATCTGCCCCCAGGACCATCTGGTTAAATACTGCATTTAATATAAACAGCAACCATTCAAAATAATATGAAATATATAAATTAGGGCTGTCAAAATTATCGCGTTAATTCACGTTAATTACCGTTTTCATTAACGCGTTAAAAAATAATTAACGCATTAACTACCATTGACGTGTTAACACGTCAATTGCGTTTCCCGCTATTTTCACGTTCCCAGATGTCTATTGTATCAAATATGTAAGGCTTGAGGCAATATTTTATCAAGCCAGCAGATGGCAGCATTGCTCTATGAATGGTTTGGAAACTATCTATTCTCTCAGCTTTCTGGTGATGAACGTAGACAGTCCATTCTTTCAGAATATGGTTTTGGATTTCAGATAGTCATAGTACACAATATTCTGTGGGTCTTGAAAATTCAGTAAAAATCATCAGAAACGGCTGGCAATATGGGAGTACCTGTTCTGAAATAGGCTGGCAGTCAATCGCATGTCCGAATGACCCGCCCATTTATAATAATATCACTCAGAATGCCACGGACACGTGCGTGTGTGATGGTGACAGCAGTAACGTGGTCATATAATACACGCATATATATACACGCACAGGGGCCATTCTCTGATGTTGTGTGACACACGGACACGGAGGAGAGGAGGAGACACGCTGAAATGCAACCAAACTCGCAAAATTAAAGCTGGGGTACCTACATTTTCCCTTTCATTAACAGCTCTTGTTGGTTGTACCCAAAAGTAGAAGGTTGTGAGCAAGTCAAACAGATTGAAGTACATTTGGTATGAATATGTGTCATTACATTTGAAAATCTCATTTAACTTCAATTGGAGTGGATTTGAAATAGAACGTTAAAAATGCGATTAATCGTGAGTTAACTCACCCTTACTATGCAATTAATCAACTAAAAAAAATTAATCGTTTGACAGCCCTAATATAAATACATAGCAAGAAAAGAGTGAAAGTTAGAAGACCATTGTTTATGAATATTTGAGGTTAGTGCATTCTGGTACAAATCTCAACTCACACAAATGTAATTTGAGGGGGGATCACAATATTGTACACCAAGTGTAGGGGTGTGACGATATATCGATATATCTATAGATATATTAATATATCTATATATATATTAATATATCGCAATACTTTCTCCCGCAATTCGATTATCAATATGCATTTGCCAAGTATCGATATCGATTTTGAAAAAAAAAAGTAAAAAATTTTTTTTTTCAATTGGTATCAATACCAGTGGGGGGCGGGTCCCGGCTCAAAAGTGGCCAAAATGACGTGCGCTGACATGCTTGCAATACCACCCCGGGCCGATGGGGGTGGACCCAGAAGTAGAATTAGCCGATGCTAACATATAGCATTGGCTGACCTCTCGAAAACGTCTTTACAGGATGGTCCAAAAGCTGGCTCTTGGCCCAAAGCTCCGTTCCACTCTGTGTCAATGCTGAGGGGGGTGGATTTTATTGGATCACTCTAGTTTACTTGCTGTGAATTTTTGAAGTCTCTCGTTTAAATGAATGGAGATTGCACCGGCTGACGCATGCGCAGATGCGTTTTTTCACAATTTTCTTGTGGGCGGGACCACTCGCGGCCATTTTGGACAGCTCCAGTAGAGCACATTTTTTGGCCCATTAGTTAGAACTGCGGAGATAGGTGTAACTCTGTCCGTTATTATATACAGTCTATGATCAATACTTAATATATGGCTAGCTCTCCATTCCATTTATCATGAAATAAAGTGTATTTTTTTCTTTTATTTATGCCATAAATTGGCCTATTGCATATTTCAGACCAATATATCAATATTGTCATATCGTGATAAAATTGTTATCGCAATATCGTTATCGTGAGCTTTGTATCGTATCGTATCGTGAGGTTCCCACCCATAACCAAGGGGCAGTTGCTCAATTGGTAGAGCATTGGTCTTTGGACCCGATAATCTTGGGTTCCATGCCCCCACGACCCATGTCCACTGCTCCCTCTGATGTTTGCTATCATTGTGTCCCTGGGCAAGACACCTAATCAATCAATCAATCAATCTTTATTTATAGGGCGGTTTTCCTGCACAGGGCAACACAAAGCGCCTCACAGTCCACACCACACAATGCACAAATCATCACCATTAAAATACAATTAAAAACACATATGTAATTAAAAAGCATTAAAATCACATAAGTAATTTAAAAACATAAAAATCACACAAGTAATTAAAAACAATAAAATAGTTAAAAACACAAAAAGTTACAACAATAAATAACAAGGTGTGTTAAAAAGATAAAATTCTCTAGTTGTATGCACGGGAAAAAAGAAAAGTCTTTAACATGGATTTGAACATTGACAGAGAGGCAGCCAGTCTCACATCCTCAGGAAGACCGTTCCAGACTCCAGCTGCATAAATCTGAAAAGCAGCCTCCCCCTGTCTAGTCCTGACTCTGGGCACTAACAGGAGTCCCGTCCCTGCGCTCCTCAGAGTCCGGGCTGGTTCATATGGGACTAGCATATCATGGATGTACTTTGGTGCAAGGCCATGGAGAGACTTGTACACCAGGAGAGCTGCTTTAAAGTCTATTCTCTGGGCCACGGGAAGCCAGTGCAGAGACCTGAGGACCGGACTAATGTGGTCGTACTTCCTGGTTCTAGTCAGGACTCGGGCTGCAGCATTTTGAATATACTGCAACTGTCTTACTGCATGTTTGGAGATACCTGTGAGCAGGCCATTGCAGTAATCCAGCCTACTGGAAACAAAAGAATGGATAAGAATCTCCAAGTCTGCCCTGGACACAATATTTTTAATTTTGGCAATATTTTTCAGATGATAAAAAGCTGCTGATGTTAGCGATCCAATGTGGCTATTGAAGTTTAAGTCAGAGTCCATTATTACTCCCAGATTTCTGACCTTATTTAAGGGCCTTAGGGAGAGAGACTGAAGGTGACAAATGACGGTCTCTCTTTGTTTCTCGGGACCAAAGACAATCATTTCGGTTTTGTCCGCATTTAGCTGGAGAAAATTGCATTGCATCCACTCACTGATCCGCTGGATACAGCGAAGGAGTGAGTCCACCGGCCCATGCTCTCCTGCAGTCAGTGAGACATAGATCTGAGTGTCATCAGCGTAATTGTGGTAGGACACTTTCATACTTTGAATTAACTGACCTAATGGCAGCATGTAAATATTGAACAGGAGAGGTCCCAGAATCGACCCCTGTGGCACTCCGCAGGTCAGGGCCATATTATCTGAGACATAGTTTCCAATCTCCACACAATACTTCCTTTCTTCTAGATAGGACCTAAACCAGCTTAGGGCGGTACCAGCAACACCAACCCAGTCCTCCAGTCTCTGCATGAGAATCTCATGGTCAACGGTGTCGAAAGCGGCACTCAGATCTAACATGACTAAAACAGAGACTTTTCCTGCATCAGTGTTAAGCCGAATATCATTTGTTACCTTGACTAGAGCGGTCTCAGTACTGTGGTGTGGTCTAAAGCCAGACTGAAACATGTCAAATGAGTCATTAGATATTAAAAATTCAGTAAGTTGTTGGTAGGCAACTTTTTCAAGAATTTTTCCCATGAAAGGCAGATTTGAGATGGGACGGTAATTTTCAAGTACCGCAGCATCCAAACTGCTCTTTTTTAGGAGGGGCCTAATGACTGCCTTTTTCAGGGCCATTGGAAATGTTCCAGATAAAAAAGACATGTTTACTATTTGTGTCAATGAGGGTAATAGACTACACATAACAGACTTCAGAAATCTAGGAGGTAGTACATCCAGACTGCAGGTAGAGGAACTAAGACCTGTGATTATCTTTTTAACAGTTTAAAACAGTTCTTTTTAACCCCCCAGATCCCCCCCGACCCAGAAATGGATTAATGACACGACATAATATACACTACACCTACACTATCCTTTACATCTGTATCCTCTGCTGCCCTCATGATACATTGTTATTGGTCTCACATCGTTCATGATTCTTAAGGTTATTGGTATGGTTAAGCCTTTCCCTAGATACTAGTTACTGTATACAATAGTAACTAAAAAACAATCTTAGACCAAGACAATTTACCGCCAATAAATAGCCCCAACATATTTCTAATCACTGGGAATGACCTTGGCGCTAAGCCTGAAGTAAAATGTCAAGTTTTCTAATAATTTTAAGTGTGATTAAATGCACACATGTTCAGTTTGCACTGGGCGGACTGCAGATAGCCTCATGCTGGTTTAACATCTGGAGGTGGTGATAGGCATGGCTGCACAGTGGGCACCAATAGCCCCACAGAAGGAAAACAGCTGGAGGAATCAGGCAAACAGGAAGTAGGTAGGTGGAAATTAACATTCAACATACTATTTATACAGTGTTTTTTTCTGTAATCTACCCACAGCTATAAAAACATACTGTGGTGGTAAACAGCAGTGCAGCTAATTTAATTGGCTCCTATGAGGTACAAGCACTTTGTGAACTTGAACAATACCGTGAGACTATTGTAGTTGCATTTTCAAAAGGCATAAAATATTAAGACTCATATTGTCCAAAGACACCACTTTACACTGGTGGCTATGGGGTAAATTTATGTTTTATTTTTCACAATCAGAAGAAGAACAGGCTTCTGTTAAGTTATTGAAAAGGTAATATGGTTCAGGAAAAAGCTTTGGAGGTTTGAGTACGTTTCCTCAATAGAGTCCAGTTTCCCCCATCAAGCCAAAGCATGGAAAATACATGAAACTCTACAACTGAGGTGAATACAACCTTAAAGGTTTAATATTGAAAAGATAAAAAACATTGAACAAATATCTTGGAACAATAAAGAGCATTATACTGATTTTAGTCTCTTACATCCTCACTATCATAACATAAACAAATTGAAACCAATATATCAGAACAAAGCTGATTCAGAATGTCTTTTCTTTACAATGCAAATGCTTGCTTTCTATAGTAAGGGCAAAAGAGGAAAGCCACTGGAGCTCCAACAAAGAAAACAGAAGCAAATAAAATATAAGCCTGGTGCTCTAGACAGCAACATAATAACATAATTTCAACATCTGTCCAGTCAAATAAAGCTTCTGGGCTGAAATCAAAAACTTCAGAGACAACCCCTTGAAATACCCCATTCATTCTACTACTGTACTACTCTACTTTTGTGCTACTGTGAGGTAGCACAAAAGTTGAGCTCTAGCATCCCACATTGACAGGGATGAAACAGAAAAACAGCAACAAAGCAATAATTAACTTTCTATCCAAACTTTTCCTTGTGCTGTCTAATATGAACTTTATTTACTACTGTGCAGTGAGCAGAACCGTTCCTTATTCACGCTTTTCTTTTTGCATTTGCCTTATCATTCAGTGAAACACGAGCAGAGAAAAAGGGCTTTGGGCTTTGTGTAATGGAGCTGTCAGGAGCGCTGTAGATTACAGGTTTTCAGACAGGAGAGCAGACTCCGGTGCTTGTGGGTGCTGAGGTTGGCTGCACATCTTCAATTAGGATTCGTTTGAAGAAATGGGCCAGGAGGAAAAAAAAAGCAGTGTTTCAAAGGAATTGTAGCGAAAGACTACGAAAACAAAGAGGGAATCGTGTCCATCTGCAGTGGAGCTCAGGATGGAAGTTTCAACCCTGGCTGCTCTCACACAATCAGCCATTGGTTTATCTCTGACGCAGATAGTAATAGAGTGGAAAAGCGTCTTCACCTTCACAGACAGGGGTTGATTTGGTTTCTTCACCACATAAACTTTTGACAAGCAGACACAGTGTGCAAGACCCTGTGCGGCACAAGGCTGTGACAATTAATAAATGAGAGACATGCAATACAGCCCTGGAAAAAAAAAAAAAAACTACCCAAGAAAGAGGCATCATGTGATCTGTTGAACAAGGCCCTCAGGATCTTCATACATGTGCTGATCCAATTGGTACAACTAAGAAATTGGCTGTAAATGGAATACTCCCCTTTGGATGCTGTTTGTAATAATCACATCACCTTTCAAAAATGGTCTTCTGGTAATCCTCAATATCATTATCCAATCTTCAAATTCATCATTCGCAATCCATGCTCACATGAAATGGAACAAACACGGTTAATATTCTGCAGCTGGAGACTGTTTAAGAGCATCACTGTGGTGCCACTACAGGGAATTTACAAATCATGTGCATTGAAAACTCAGGACAGCAGCAGGGGCCAGCAGAGTCTCTCCCTGACCATCTGTGTGTGATGGGCTTCCATCCAACACACTCTGATTGGAACAAAAATTACAGCTCTGGGTCTGAGTGCGTCTGAAAAGGCTCAAATTAGAAAGAAGGCTTTTTGGGTCCTTTTATTTCCACCAAAAAGACCTCAAACAAACTTGTAAATAGATAAATAGAATAGAGAAAAAGTCCAATTTAACCAGATAGAAGGTATGCAATTTGAATCTTTCATTCAAGAGATAGCGTCTACAACCATATTTTATTTTGAATTGTGTTTGAAGAAGCCATTTTGTTCTTTTGTCAGCTATATGCATTACCTCAGGAGGTGAAGCGATAACCGGCGTAACATAACTTAAAAAGTTATGTTAGGATTTGAACGAATGCAGGAAATATGTGCAATGGCGCAGTGAACTGCCAGAACTCAACAATTATCCACAGCAAACATATGAATATTTGATTTCTTTAGAAAAGCACACAATATGTTATTCATTATAAAGATTGGCGGACCACCACATGGTCATTCTTTATACGAGCATATGAAATGTGAAAATGCATTTTTCATGTTCACAATCAGATGAAAGTTTTAAAAAGGAGTGATAAACTTTTAATCAATTCAGCTTCACAAAATGATTTATGCTGAACTATAGATGTCGGTGTGTCCCACAGTGAGAACATGATGCACCTTTCTGTGAAAACGATGTCTCCCGATGAAACCGCGGTGGGCTGAAGGTGATATTATTTATCTCTGTGTCTGCGACTTGGAGGGGGGGCATGTGTCTTTGAGTTATGATTAATTTATGTGGTCCATGTCAGGGGACTAAGTGTAGCCCATTTTTCAGCTTGACAACCAAACCCAGGATTTTCAGCATGAGGAGGAGAGTGCAGCCATGCATTAGTTTAAAATGGATCTACACACAGGCGCAAGCATATTGTGAAGCTAAAAAAAGTCGTGCTGAATTCATTCTAAATATCCAAATTGGCATTCGCAAATTTATGCATCATTACTGTGGCATTAATAAGCCCTCTAAAAAGCAGTGTTAGTCACAAAAACAAATAAATCCAAAGTTTCTCTTCCTTTCTCCCCAGCAGCTGTCTAAGGGGAGTAATAATGCCAGATTATTTTTTTCACTTCAAGTCTATCTCTGTCGAATAAGTTTTCACTGACTGCACAGTCAAATCCAATGACCTGCTTTTCTCCCACTTTAGTATTAAAACTTTCAACCTAACTTCAAGATGTGATGGGATCTAAATGTCGCAAACAGAATGTGTAGAAATCACTGAGGTGAAAATAAAATACTGTATAGTGCCATAACAGTGTCCATTACAAAAGGTGTGTGCATAATTGTATAAAATACTAATCATAAAGTTAAGTTTAAAAGTGTGTGTACATAGTGTATTATGTCCTCGAAGGACAAAATAATGCGGTTTTAATATTTGCAAATGTGTGTAAATTTCTCCTGTGTGAGATCAATATAGTCTATCTTATCTTATTTTATATAACGTTATTTTAACGGACTTGTGATTGAGCATAGGATTCAAAGGCATATTCACATTCAAACAAAGACATTCAAGATTGGGGGTCATATAATATCCTTTGAACAAATTCTTCTAGTTTTAAAAAGATTAAATGGAATTTCAATCAGAAAAGTAATGGCAGAAAGTGTTGTATGAACCAAGGAGTGAAATGGCTTACGGCCCATTAGCTTTTAAAACCTAATTATAACTAAGAATTTTTCCGATTCAAAAGTTTTATAAAAGGTCTTTCACTCATATACAACAAATGTTTCAAACTAAAAAGTAGAGGTTCCATTCTTTGCCCTCCTCTGAAACTTGATGGAATAATATTTCATAAATCAAACGGCTTTCTCCCTCAACACCTAAATGTGTCATCTAGAGTGATTGTAGTGTGACTGATGGTCAGAAAGGAGGACATTTTGACAATAAAGTAACAGATATAGGACATTGCAGAGGATAAAGACCACAATACAATAACACACTGTGAACTGTCAGTCTGTAAAATGCTCTCAAGAAGAGCGTGGCTCTAACCACACAGTGCTATGTTTGCAAATTAACTCAAAGCTTGATAAAGTTTGACAAAACCTCTACATTCTAGAGACATTTAGATCCCATTTTTTCAAGTTAACATCCCTGATATTGTCATTAAGATGTAGAAATCCTTAACAAGGTGCCACACAATCTATCCAAGCTGCTCTCTCCATTACCACTACACAATTACTTTGATCAACTAAACCCTGGTGAAAGTATGGTTCTGTCCACCTTGAGCTTTGGTTGAAGCCTGTTAATGAGGAAATTAAGATTTAGAGGGAAATATACAACTTCATAAATTAAAAAACCAAGGTTGCTTGCCATCCACATGAGGCTAAATGACTTGTGATACCGATTCTTTTAGCCGGTGATGATTGTTCTGTTTATATTTTCCAGTCGTACATTGCAGCTTATTTAATGTTACTTACCAACGGCCAGTAATGGCTGGTAGTGGCTGATGTTTTTGGTGGTGAGTGGCGGGCACATGCGGAGGGCAAACGGAGGCAGAGGGAGTCCAGAGAGTAGACCGGTCAACAGGAACTTCAACTGGACCTCATGTTGGTTTGAGGAAGGAGGAGGGGTCTCACCAGCTATAAGGGTCTGACCTGAAAAAGAAAAAAGAAAAAGAAATACCTGAACATATGTTTTGTATTGAGATTTAGAATGAGAATGTTGCACATGGTTATAGTAGTAGAGGAAACCAGAGCACCTGGAGGTAAGGTGTGAAAACATGGGGCTTCTTGCTGTGAGGTAGAAGGAAAATCATGTATTTGCTTGTTTGCCAATTTTATGATATTCATCTGAGGTAAAGACTGATATCGAGTACCCTACATCAGTGATGGAACTGACCTCTTTTTCCTTTTTGTAGTTGTATTACATGTTTGATGGGGATTAATAGGACAAAAATAACAAAAGATCTTTATACCATAAAAACTGCACCGTTTAATTGAATCATTTTTAGGATTATTGGTTTTAAATAATTGGGGCACATCAAACTTGAATCACCATATTTGGAAAATGTTTAAGAAAGTTTATTCAGCCAGAAATGCCCTTTAGATCATCACCATTTAAGTTCAACCTAGTTCAATTGTAACAAGCCAGCAAAATCAATTTAATCCACAATCACGTTAAGTCATTGCTGTTCAGAATTCACTGCAGCCCAGCGAAAGAGGACATGAGATAATGATGAAACACCATAATGACACAGAAAAGTCAAGGAATTGTAAAATGTCCCTTTAATTGTTTATTCAGGAATTGAAGATAGAAGTTACATAAAGACGTGTATTAACAGTTGTCAGATTAAGGTTAAGATTAAGATTGAGAGATCCTTTTTGTCCCACAGGGTTCTCATTGAAACCGTATATGCAGCATTTGTTGCTCTCACAATTATGTAAGTGTGTGTGTGTGAGACTGTGGGAGTAAGTAAGTAAGAAACTAAGTAAGTAACTAAGTGAGTAAGTGAGTAAGTGAGTAAGTGAGGGGTCACAATTTACTACTTTATTGTCCCCGTAGTGAAGTTTGGCCTCTGCATTTGACCCATACTTCCACTGCCACACGGACCTCTCAGGAGCAGTGGTTACTGGTGACCCATCTCTAGATGTTGAAGCTCGGCTTGGTCAGGACTTGGTCAGGACTTGGTCAGGACTTGGTCAGGACTTGGTCAGGACTTGGTCAGGACTCAGACACGGTGAGCTGTTTAGCTGCCTTCAGTTTGAGACTTCAGCTCAAGTCTAGACTCAGAATCATCATTGAACTATGTGTATAAATGAATATGCTACAATTGGGTTAGTTTGTTCATCATAATAAAATCCCTTGTGTGGATAATATTATTTATGCTGACAGGTTTGTGCTTATAGTAGTGGGATGAACAATAAAAACTGTCAATGTGAATACAAAAAAGGACACATTGTACAGTGGGCAGCCTCTGTTATAAACTAGTGCTCTTATAGAGGCTGCATAATTTGAGATCTCCCCATTATTTTGTGTATTTGTCATACCGCCATCTGCATATAACTCCACTGTCAAACAATCCATCACATTTTAACTAGCTCCCACTGCTGTGTAAATTAAAATTCCAGTAGCCTGCAGGCCAGAGCTTCAGAGCACAGACCTCAATTCAAAAACCGTCATTCGGAACTCTAGCTTCAGGCAGTGGGTGGCCTTCAAGAACAATTGAGTGTGTCAGAAATACAAAATGCTAGCCAAATACATTACAACAAGGAGTTCTCCAAGGATCTCTACCTTTCTGACAGTTTGCCCCTGAAGTTCAAAATAAATAAATAATGCCATTACTATTTCATCATTCATGTTTGGATATTCTATAGAGAGGATGAGACTGAGACTGTGAGACTTTGTAAGCTGGATTTGAAAGAAGTAGAGCCAACGTTCCCTTGGGTGAATGATACTGCCCAGTCTTATTTAATGCAGCGTTACAAAGGGATACAGAAAGCTACCCTTAGGCACAAAACATGAGAGACATTTATGAAGGCCGGGAACTGCACTACACTACACACAAATACTACATGTATTATTGTCTCTATGGAGTTTTGAAAAAGTAAAAAGTTGAAGTTACGTTGCATAACTTGCAATCAAAAGGGCCCAAGGGCAAGATGTCAAATCCTCAGCCCAATAATTATCATGTTTCCATAAAGACAAAAGCACTTTTCCTTGTGTTTCCTAGGTGTTCTAAAAGGTGTCACAAATGGAGGTCAGATGACTCAACATGGTGCAAGAATAAAGTACAATGACAAACAAAGTTCCATCCATCCATCCATCCATTTTCTACCCTTTAATCCATTTCTGGGTCAGGGGGGTGGCAATCAGAGATACCACCCAAGTCTCATAGCACCAGCCCCTCACTGACCCTCTGCAGGTGGTGAGTCCACAGGAGGACAGCTGCTCTCTGAGTGTGAGCATAGCCTTGATCTTTCAGTGGGGGCTTTGGGCAAAGTGGGGTTAAGTGTCTTGCCCAAGGACACAGCGACAGCAGTCATCAGTGGACTGCATTACACACCCATAACAAAGTTATGGGTGTGTAATGCAGATATTGTGGAGAAGTATGTGTGTGATATCATGGAGTCATTGGGAGTATACGCAATTGTTTTTAAGGGTAAAGGATCAATCTCCTTTAGGGAAAGTTGAATTTGTACTCAATGCAAGTAGGGATACTTGCATGTAAAAAATGGACTATGCAGTGAACAGATCTTGGCCAAATATTTTTTTAATTGAAGCAAATTGAATTCAGATTTTTTTTTATCTTAGGGCATTATACACCCTAAGACAAAATGAATCAGAATACATTTACATATACTTTACAAAACTATTCTGCATTTAACAATGCTTTTATTACCCAGTTGTCTGATCTCAAGCTCTAACAAAAATCAGCTTGTTGCCCGCAGCTGACCAAAAGCACTGTTGCCATAGAAACATACATTCAGCTATTCAGCTATTACATATTGTAATGAAACGACTGACCTTGCATTAGCCTGCTCTCACAAGGCTTAGAATGTTTTGAATGCCTGTGAGAAGGCAATACTTTTTCCGTCAAGCAGAAAATGTTTAAAAGTGCACACAGGACAAATAGTTCATCGACGAGGAGAAACAGAGGGGTTTCTACTCGTCTACGAACTCCCTGCCTCTGGGGGGTGATGGTTCATTTCACTCAATAGAACAACACTTTTTGCCACATTACCATCGCCAGTCACAGATTGTGGCTGGCAGCAAATGTGATTCACATGTGCAGCGATCAGGAAAAAGAAGAAGAACCTACAGAATTTTATGTTATTGGATTTTGCAACAGAAAAGGGATTTTAGCAGGTTTGTGTGTATAGTTCAGTGCTACTCTGCAACGTTTAACAGGCTGCACTTTTATGTGGACTATTGAGCTATCCTGAAAGTCAAGTTCCAATCCACAGCAATGGTAAACAAAGATGGCCACAAAAGTAATATTGTGTTGCCATTGATAGGTGTATGCGGCAAACTAACACCAACAATGTTTAACAAAGAAGAAAAGGGCTGCATAATAAGATCCATTGTGAAAGTTTTTTGTGCGCAATAAAAAAGTTGATCTTTGACTTTCTAGTGACAAAATGGCTGTATGAGTGGTCAGCATGGTGCCTTATCTTTTGAACAGGATCGATTGCTTTGTGGGTTTTCAGGTGCGGGGGCCAGTCAGCAAAGAACACCTTCCAAACAATTAATCATTGAGCATCCTACAGCCCACTATGATGGAAGTAATGAAAACTCCTGACAACTCACACAGCAGCTGGGTCGATACAAGATCAAATGTGCACATAAAAAGTGTATAATGCACCTTTAACTAAGGTGCAAAGAATTATTTACAGCATGAATTGTATTGAGCATTAATACATTAAAACATAAGTTACAATACATCTTAATTTACAAAAAGTATTTTCAATTATTTTGGAAAATTAGTACGGATTTCTTAAGCAACATTTGAAAATATGGAGCTGGTTCCACATTTGAACAGAAACTTGTTTCTTAGTCCCCGTTAGTCCCTCAGACTATAGATGTTTGGAGTTTACTGCTCAATGTGAGTGTCTTGTTTTTCTTCAAAGATATCTGCCTAATTAAAATCCTATGCAGTTGATAGAGACGAACATTAAAAATCATCTCATAGAACAAGCCAAACATTGTCTCAATGAATGCCCCCTTGAACCTTTCAACATTTCGCCGCATTTCAGGCTTCAAACAAAGATATAAAATTTACATTTTTTGTCATGAATCAACAACAAGTGGGACACAATCGTGAAGTGGAACGAAATTTATTGGATAATTTAAACTGTTTTAGCAAATAAAAAACTTAGAAGTGGGGCGTGCAATATTATTCGGCCCCTTTACTTTCAGTGCAGCAAACTCACTCCAGAAGTTCAGTGAGGATCTTTGAATGATCCAATGTTGTCCTAAATGACTGATGATGATAAATAGAATGCACCTGTGTGTAATCAAGTCTCCGTATAAATGTACCTGCTCTTTGATAGTCTCAGGGTTCTGTTTAAAGCGCAGAGAGAACCATGAAGACAAAGGAACACACCAGGCAGGTCCGAGATACTGTTGTGGAGAAGTTTAAAGCCGGATTTGGATACAAAAAGATTTCCCAAGCTTTAAACATCTCAAGGAGCACTGTGCAAGCAATTATATTGAAATGGAAGGAGTATCAGACCACTGCAAATCTACCAAGACCCGGCCGTCCCTCCAAACTTTCATCTCAAACAAGGAGAAGACTGATCAGAGATGCAGCCAAGAGGCCCATGATCACTCTGGATGAACTGCAGATAACTACAGCTGAGGTGGGAGAGTCTGTCCATAGGACAACAATCAGTCGTGCACTGCACAAATCTGGCCTTTATGGAAGAGTGGCACGAAGAAAGCCATTTCTCAAAGATATCCATAAAAAGTCTCGTTTAAAGTTTGCCACAAGCCACCTGGGAGACACACCAAACATGTGGAAGAAGGTGCTCTGGTCTGATGAAACCAAAATCGAACTTTTTGGCCACAATGCAAAACGATATGTTTGGCGAAAAAGCAACACAGCTCATCACCCTGAACACACCATCCCCACTGTCAAACATGGTGGTGGCAGCATCATGGTTTGGGACCTGTTCAGCAGGGACAAGGAAGATGGCTAAAATTGATGGGAAGATGGATGGAGCCAAATACAGGACCATTCTGGAAGAAAACCTGTTGGAGTCTGCAAAAGACCTGAGACTGGGACGGAGATTTATCTTCCAACAGGACAATGATCCAAAACATAAAGCCAAATCTACAATGGAATGGTTCACAAATAGACATATCCAGGTGTTAGAATGGCCAAGTCAAAGTCCAGACCTGAATCCAATCGAGAATCTGTGGAAAGAGCTGAAGACTGCTGTTCACAAACGCTCTCCATCCAACCTCACTGAGCTCGAGCTGTTTTGCAAGGAAGAATGGGCAAGAATTCCAGTCTCTCGATGTGCAAAACTGATAGAGACACACCCCAAGCGACTTGCAGCTGTAATTGCAGCAAAAGGTGGCGCTACAAAGTATTAGCACAAGGGGGCCGAATAATATTGCACGCCCCACTTTTCAGTTTGTTATTTGTAAAAAAAGTTTAAATTATCCAATAAATTTCGTTCCACTTCACGATTGTGTCCCACTTGTTGTTGATTCTTGACAAAAAATTTAAATTTTATATTTTTATGTTTGAAGCCTGAAATGTGGCGAAATGTTGAAAGGTTCAATACCTTTCGCAAGGCACTGTATGTCACTGCCACCGTGTCCACTCCACCCCGGCACGGTGGCTGAGTGGATAGCACTCTCGCCTCTCAGCAAGAAGGTCCTGGGTTCGAATCCCGGCCGGACCAGGGCCTTTCTGAGTGGAGTTTGCATGTTCTCCCCGTGTCTGCGTAGGTTTCCTCCGGGTACTCCGGTTTCCCCTACCACTAAAAATATGTACAATAGGTCTGGCATGCGCCTCCTGTTCGGCGCCCCCGCTCCCATCTCTGTGTGGAGTGAGAGGACAAGTGCCCATAAAATAACAATTGTAAACCGCTTTGTGACTCTGGTCTGTGAAAGGCGGTATATAAATAAAGCTTACTTACTTACTTACTTACACTCCTTTTACTGCCTATGATCAGAAATAGCACAAAATAATGTCTAACATTCCTTTTTTACAAGAGCTGTGTTCTCACCTATCATGCTGTTTAGAGACAGGTCCTGAATCTTCTTTTGGTTTGGAGCCAAAGGAGCTCCACAAAACGCCACAGGGGAGTAGAGAGGAGACATGCCAGAGCTGCAGGACAGAGCAGAGTTAATAAGAAATCATTAAACATTAGACACAACATATAAGAGATACAATGGAAAAAAGACAAGGCAACGCAAAGTGCTTAGCAAAAGTCATACCATATCAAAGGCATTAAAATAATGAATATTTACACTTCATGAAACAAAATGAAGATAGAATCCTCCAGTTGTACGCACAGCTAAACAGAACTGTTTTGGCTTCTACATGCTCAGAGTTGAAGCCTGTCTCACATTTTCAGGAAGGCTGTTGCATCAATCTGAATTACTGCCTCTCCCTGTGAGTCCATGGTAATAATATGTCACAGATGTACTTTGTGGTTTTCTAATATAATTATTAATCATTAAACCACTTCACCTTTTTTCTTGTTGAGAAAGATACTGACACACACTATAGCTCTGGGTCCAAATCAAAGCAAAGCGGCTTCTCCATAAATAGCTCATGCTCATTTATCTTTATTCGCTGAGCTCCGAGTGACTACATTGGCCGAGTAGCAGGAATTATTAGTCATGTCAGTACAAACAGCCAGTGCCAGAATCGCCTTCAAGCATTACGTTTTTAAGTTTGTGCACCAAATAGACAGACTGAAAGACAGAATGCTAAACAAAACCTCTCAGGGAATGCCAAATGAATTGACTGAAAAATGAAGTACGAGATCAGCACTGAAAAGAAAACCATTCACTTTAATGTAGTTTATATGAGGAGATATGAGTCAGAAAACATTATAGAAAAAAATGTTTCTTTTGGACAATAATTGTACGAGTCAGATCAAAATGGTCTAATTTGAGTGGAGATAATGAAGTGAAATGCATATACATAGTTCCCACATGACGCCACTACATACGGGGATTTGCCGACCCGGCGCCATTTGTGTTGGCATTCTGTGGGCAAAACAATAGAAAAAGAAGCTGAAACGTGTTAATGTCGTGATAAAGTTGAAAATGGTCATCTCCTGCTGGGTCAATGGATGTTCAAATCGTGCCGGAGGTTCCGTTAAACTTGGATTTTACAGTATACCCATCATTAGACTTCATGAATGTGAGAAGACTAAGCTTTTGTCAGAACAACCACGGAGGTTATGGCTTGCGAAGATAAACAGGCAAGAAACTCCCTCAAAACACGCAAGAATATGCTCGGAGCACTTTGTGTCAGGTGCGTATCGTATCTCATAATGTGTTGACAGACGTAATTTACTCAGTACTAACTTGTGTATGCTGATATCTGGTAACTTGAGAGTTTCATTATTTAGCGTTAGATTACTTTATTATGAGGAGGATCGGTGTCGCGTCCGAGGCTCTCGAGGGCAACGTAAATGTATTAAATAGATAATAATAGTTCTATGGTGGGCTAAAACAATGTTCACAAACAGCATTGCTTCTGTAAAAAGATCTGTGTCATAAAATAAACTGCTCTTTACGCCTGGAAAA